AATGCATTTTCAATGCTTCCCAATGAAGCATTTAGTAAAAAAATAAACTAATTAACAAAGCAAAACAATAAAAAATATGTAAATAAGAAAAATTATAAACTACTGATTAGAAATGGCATAAAAATCTCAATACATCAAACAACATGAGCCTCTGAATGTGCCGTTTAATTACGAATGGATATAACCGGAAATTTGCAAATCTGACTTAGATTCTATATTAACACTTCATATAAAAATCAGAACAAATTAGAAAGACACGATTCCATTGAGGAAATTGGAACCAGAACATGTTATGGGATTTATATAAAAGGTGTGTCATAACCTCCACAACTTCTTAACTCTCCCGCGAAAAGTCAATTGAGAAAAAAACTCGTTTTTGTTCTTCAAACACACAACCCCTTATGGACTCGAAGAACAATGGAGTTAAGGTCATTTCCCTTCTCGTAAATAGAAATGAACAACAAAATTTTGGGATCCACCAAAAATGAAGAAGAAGAAGAGTCATGCTTCACAGTTTATGACCCTGTCATGGTTTGGTGATGCTGGATTTATTTTCAAATCGACTTCGTTAAATGACTCTAAATTTAAAAAACAAAAATACAACAATTCTCCATTTCCAGGTAGTTGCTTGTTGTAACATTTTCTAAGGTAGAATACCCCGTTGCATTGTTGTTGCCGCCCAGCATCTTCATCTTGTTAAGCATTTGTGATGCCACACATGCAACAGATGATTGGAGGAAGGTTTCACTGCTGCAAGATGTTTTGCTGTGGCAAGCATAGACGGAACAACAGGTAGATGACCTTTTTGATGTTTTTCATTCTTCTCTTTTCTCAAAAGTGAAGAAGGGCTGATGGGATTTGCTTTTGTTTTAATGGTCTTTTAAATTGTTTTGTGAAAAGTTTTTAACTCGAAGAATGTTCTTAGGTAAAATCGTAACGCTGTGAAGCTTAATCTGTTCATTTAAATGTTGGTCATGCGGTAAAGAAATTAGTTTAATCTATCGTTTAGCGGATTGAGTGTTTGTCTTAATCCTAACAGAATGTTGATTATTTTAAGAACTTATCAAGGCTTAAAGTACAGGAGATGTGACACATTTATGTTCTGGGAGAGTGTGTATGGGTTTCATAGGTCGTTTATGGGTAGAAAATGTTCTATAGATACTCAACAAGCGGAGAGATCTTCTTTGTTTTATACCGAATAAGAGAATATTGGCGAAGAGATGGGGAATAACATCGCCCTCTTAGGACTGTGGAATTCAAAAACAAATAAAAATTCCCTCCACCATTTGAAAGAAACTTGAAAATTTTGGGGGCTATACGAAGGCGTGGACCTGCATAAATATTTTTTTGTCATAGTACCCATTAAGATCTTCAAATTCGAAATTTGAAACAATTCCGGCGAATAATGCCGCTAAAATCATCAAAATACCGAATATCGCGAGGTATCCTTATATGGGGGCTATACGAAGACGTGGAGATGCATAGGAATTTTTAAGCATAGACTGTAGTACCTATTACAAACTTCGAATACGAAATTTGAAACAATTCGGGTAAATGGTGTCACTAAAATTATCAGAACCCCAGTAGGCAGGTTAAATAAACAAACAAAATACACGTGTGTGCAAGATTTTACCCTTCCATCTCAATTCGTTCGAAAGATAGAGTGATTACAGACAGACGGACCACGCCAAATCGTCTTAGAATTTTACGCTGATCCAGAAAATATATACTTTGTAGGGTCTATTCCAGGATTTACAAACGGAATGATAAAGCTAATATACCCTCCATAGAATGGTGGAGGGTATAAAAATAGGTCAACATATTGGGAAATGTAGCCGAGACCGATTTCTATACCCACCACCATAGTGTGGATGGTACATTAAGTTTGTCATTCCGTTTGTAACTCCTCGAAGTATAACACCACAGAGTATATATATTCTTGATCAGCATAAAATTCTATGTCGATTTAGCGATGTCCGTTCGTCTGTACGTCTTTGGAAATAACTCTAGCTTCCGAACGAAATGTAATAGGTTGATAAAATTTTACTCAAATGCATGTTATGTCTGCAGGACTTTGGGTATTGAAAATGGGCCCTATATAATGGTACCCCCCTATTTTCGGTATTTTTGTTATTTCGTGTTGCGCACGACAACTCTCGAAGGGAGTATGCGATTGGTAAATCCTAATATTATTACCAAACTTGGATCGAGTTCGGAGATGTGCAATATCGGTCCACTCTTCTGGTACCTCCCCCACAAAAAGTCCACAATTTCAAAAAAAAATTGTGAATATTGTGAATATGACATACAGGGTGAGATAAAAACAGCAACAAATTTAAATAAAAATTAAATTTTATTGAATGATGGCAAAAACTGTCGGAAATAACCTCAAATTTTAGAATAAGTTTAGATTTGTTCGAATTGGTCACCTTTGGCACGAATTATGGCCTTCAAACCGTCACACTCTGCCCGAATGTTGCTTTGCGGTATTTTGGCCCATTCCCGGCGAAGCGCCTGCTTGATATGATAGACACTTTTAGTGCCAACCTTGCTTTCCAAAATACTCCATACACAATAGTGTTTATCCGCAGATTTTGCGCTGGAAATGAGGAGAGGAACTTCATTTTGTAACCATTCTTGGGTGGCGCAAGCTGAGTGCGATACTTCTGGTCCAAGGTCTGCGGCCAAAATGTTTGCGTGCCCAAGACTTTAATACACCCTCCGCTATAATATTCGGCATTTATTCTGATGCCACGGTCGATTAAATGAGCGGAGAGCGGCCATCGGCTGTTATGGCGGCCCACACCATCACCATGGCCGGCGCTTGAGTTCTGGTGACCAACCGAAGGTACACATTTCCGGTTGACCTCTTTGGCAAGTAAACACGATAATTTTGTTTGTTTACAAACTGCTGGACAACGAATGTTTTCTTATCGGAGAAAACCAAATTCGGAAGTTCACCACTTTCGGCCAAGCGAAGCAGCTCTTTTGATTCCATTTTCTTTCTGTTGCGGTGTAAGTTCTTGCACTATTTGGAATTTCTATGGCCTTACCCCGAGCTCATTTTTCAATATTTGCCGAATGGAATATTGCGATATGTTCAGCTCACGAGCTATTTTTCGGCCACTGCGACGCCCGTTTCGATCAAGTCGCTTCTTTACTTTTCGAAACATTTCTGCTGATGTTGCTGTTTTCTTCCGTCCACTTCCTTGACGTCGGGCTACGCTACTAGTATCACGGTAACGAGCGATGGTACGAGACACAAAAGATTTATTCACATTTAAATGCCAGAGTGCTCTAACGATAGCCACTTGTGGTTTTCCAGCCAAATAAAAAATAACACCATTACGCTTGAATTCCATCACGAATAAATTTTTTCTGGAAAATTCTCACCAAAATGCTTTTGTACGCTTGTAAACAATATAATGAGCTGTCACTGGAATAGTTTTAACAACTGTCGGACGAGTGGCTTAGAAATGACAGCAGTCTGAAATTGGTTTGAGTTTTTTCATCTCACCCTGTATATCTGCCAACCCCTTCTGCTACTTCACCCACAAAGGGTCACAATTTCGAATACTTTTATCTATCATAACTTGCATAATACAAGTCGGCGATTATTTACAACTTGTTATATCTAAATATTTCTCTTAACCAGAAATCTGATTTGAATATGTATTTTATTGAAATTTATGATTTCGCATAAAATTAGAAATGTCCTTCAAATGGTAATGTTCGATTTCCTTGCACATACCAATATTTTTATCTGTACTAGGTGAATTATGAAAATGGAATATTTCGGTCCGCTATATCAGTTACCTCACGCATATTTCCACATTTTCCAAAAAATTTGCACATATCCCATATTAAGTATAGGAAGTAGTCGATATAGTCAAAATCTGGCACGTTGTAATATTTTTTTGAATCTTCAGATACGAATTGGGTAATATTGGCCAACTGCTTTGGAACCTACTCCATCATAACTCAAGGCTGGGGATATACATCTGTCGGCAAAACTGACTGATACTATTTTACTTGTTATTCAAAATTTTGGCATTTTGTGGGGGATGTATTTGATGGAAAAGACCGATATTGTCCATTTTAGCTCCTGGGCTAGCACTGTTGCAAATATTAGGGTTTGCGAAGTTGGAGCAAAATCAGATTATCCTTTCTCTTGCTGAGCAGTAAAATACATTTTTTTTTTTTGAAAATTTCGACCCTTTGGGGGGGATGTACTAAAAGGATTGAACCGATACTGGCATTCTCCGAACTCAATCTAAGTTTGACAATAATATTACGATGTACCATGTTTGAACCAAATCGGATACTCCCTTCGAGAGTTATCGTGCGAACCAACTAGCCAAGCCAGACAGACTGATGGACAGACATCGCTAGATCGACTCTAAATGTCCTGAAACGAATTTCTTCCAATAGGTACGTAAGTATGCACAATAGTGAATTTTCAATGCACCAGATCATTTTTCATTTGTGGAAGTTGCTTTTGTTTTCCTCCAGAGGTGTATCCTACCTTACGTACCCTAATTGGTCATTGTGTCATCACTCTACTTTAAATGTGTATTTCACCTTAGATTCTTTGCAATTATGTTGTCAAATCTCACAGCCGGATGGAGCAACATCCTCCAGTGACTGACTGATCTTTAGTCAAGAATTTAATTTATTTAACCTTTTTGATGTCGTCATTGCACTACCTATTTAAACATGAAATTTCTTCAAACTTTTCATGAAGAAATAAATCACAATAATCTTTCAGTTTATAGAATTTTTTTTTTATTTTTTAGGAATCGTTTTTACATTTTTTTTTTCAAATTGATATTGTATATGATTTTGTTTTTTTTTTGGCTTTTATCTTCATATATATATTGCTGTTTATGGTGCAATTATACAGTTTGTTTGTTATTGTTTATTTTTACAAAATATTTGTTTTTTAGCACTGTGATATATTGTTATGTATTTTTTTATTGTTTAAAAAACGGAGTTTTTGCTTTCTTTGTAATAGAAGACATTAGTTACACATTTATGATGAACTTTGTTTTGTTGCTTTTTTGCTAATTAGTAATAGTAGTTGTTGTTGTAGTAGTAGTAGTTCGTTATAATAGTAGCGGTGTACATTATGCTATTTGATGTGTAAGTGGATAGGTAGGTATTTTGGGGATATTGTTTGTTTGCTGTTGGTGTTTGGTTATGGTAGAGGGTGGGAAATTAACAAAATTGTTTCTAACTAATATTAAAATAAATAATTCACAATTACGAGATATTACAGTTTTGCAGTATTGAGTGGCGTAAAATTGAAGTAAAATAAAATAACAAAATCTTTTTGTTTAAAGAACAAAAGAAAAATCAACAATTCAGTATTATTTATGTAAAACAAAGAAACATTAATAAGTTATAGGGTTTTTATTATTTTTTATTTCTTTTGGAACTTAAACTAAAACACAAATTCATCAACCTCTTGTTTGAAATAAAATATTGCAGTTTTTTAGGTTATTTCTTGTTGCAATTGTATGCATTTCTTCCCATGAGCAATATACAATATTAGTTTTATTCTTTTTTTTTTGAAAATTTCTGATTTTTTTTTGTAAAAAAATGAGCCCATTTATTTAATGCTTTATAGGTTATTATTTTTTTTTTTTATTATAATTTTTCGTTCGTTTTAGTTTTGCTTACAATTATTTTTAATTTATAAAACTCAACAATAAAAAAATTAATTCCTGTTTTTTCCCAAGGAAACTTTTAAAAAACATGTTTCTTCTTTTTTTTTTTTTTTTGTTTTATTAAATTAATACTTTACTTGAAATTTCTTTGAGAAATGTTCAGCATTTGTTTTCAATAGTTATTTAAATTTGTATTGTATTTAATTTTCTTTTTTGAATTCAATCTCAAAATTTCGTTTTTTGCTTTGCTTCTTTTTTGACTACTGAAAAAAAGAAAGCCGTAGTTTAACTACTTACATATTAGCTGCTTTTTTTGTTATATTTTTAATAATTTAAAGGTACATCCACATACAATTTTTAGAAAAAAAAAAAAGAAAAAAAATGGTTTGCTTACAACTAATTTTGTTGATTTTTTTTCGGGTCCAAAATATAACCTCTTTTTAAGGCGTTTTTTTTTATTACAAAAACATTTTCAAGAAACATAAAAATATTTAAATTCAATTTTTATTTTTATTTATTTATTTTTTTTTTTTTTCAAATAATTATTATTTTATCACACATATTCAAAACAATGCAAATGGGAATCGAGAAAAGAAAAAAGAAAATCACTTGCCTCTTTCTTTCTCACCGTTTGCATGTTAGTTCGTTTCGTTTGTTTTGCCTACTTTTGCTTTACTTGCATTGCCTACTTTTAGGAGGCTTTGTTAATAGTATGCCACATTTCTCTTTTGATTTCGTTTTATTTATTCCAAAGAGATTTTCAATGACCGATGTTCTCTTTTGTTTTTTTTTTTTTTTGAAGTCGTGGTGCAAATACGATGCCGTCTCTCTTTTAGTTTCAAACAGTATTTCTTGATTCTAGATTCAAAATATGAATTTTTCAATTAAAAAAGGGATTTTTTAACAAAAAAAAAGTATAAATTATGAATATGAAGTTACTAAAGTTATAAACTAATATTGGAGGATTTTTAAAAAAAAAATTGAAATATTTAAAAAAAAACATGAACATTACAATTGACAATAGGGAATTTTTGTAAAAAATATATGTATTATATCCACATTGGACTATTCTATTACATAAAGAAGAGGCCTTCTATGGATAGAAGACAGTCAAATGTCAAAGATCTTCTTTGAACGGAAGACATTTTGGGTTGTCAAAAAAAACTTTAGATCTTCTATGAAAAGAATAGAAGGCTTTCAAATGACCTTCTTCGCATAAAACACTTTCAAATGATGTTCTGAGGAACTCCAAAAAAGTCTTCTACAGATAAAACGATCTTTTATTAAAAAATAAAATCCTTTAAAGGAGGGCCCATTATGAAATGAAGACCTCCAAAAATGCCTTCTATCTATCGAAAGGTCTTCAATGAATCGGACATTTTAAGAAAAATCCGAGGATGGATCTTTAAAGAAAAATACTATTTTATGATATATGCATTAACTTAGAAAAGTCTTGAAAGGTCTTCCATGATTAAAGGACTCCAGAAGACCGTGAAAAGAACAAGAAAAATGAACATTAAAATTGGCAAAAGGGATTTTTTGTAAAAAAAAAGGTGTTTATTCCATCCACATTGGACTATTCTTTTACATAAAGAAGATTTTTTAAATGCCTTCTAGGATAGAAGACAGTCAAATGTCAAATGGGTTGTCAGATAAAAACTTTTGGTCTTCTATGAAAAGAATAGGCTTTCAAATGACCTTTGGATAAAACACTTTCAAATGGTGTTCTGAGGAACTCCAACAAAGTCTTCTACAGATATAAGGTTCTAATATTAATAAATAAAATCCTTTTAATGAGGCACTTCTTTCAAAAGAAGACCTCCAAAAAGGCCTTCTATCAATCAAAAGGTCTTCAATGAATAGGACATTTTAAGAAAAATCCGTGATTGGATCTTTAAAAAAATGCTATTTCATTATCTACACATTAACATCGAAAGGTCTTCTATGTTTAAAGGCCTTAAGAGGGCGGTCTTCTATGACTGACTGGCTTCCATGGATTTTCGGCTTTTAATGAAGACAAAATCGGAAACTAATTAATTTGGCACCGACCCGGAAACAGGTTTCTTTCATTGTTATATTAGAACCTTCGAAAGGACTTCAAAAGCTCTATAATGGATAGAAGTCATTAAGATATACTTCTGTGGATTTTCGATTTTTAATATAGACAAAATATACAAGAATATTTTAAATACTGAAAGCCCACAATGGAAGATAATTAATTCGTTTCCGTTGCAGAAACAATTTTCTTTTCCTTCGAAAGGTGTTCTATGATTCAATACTTCAAAAAGGGTTTTTCGGAAACTAGCTTTTCGCACAACTATTGCAGCAAGTCATGTTAATTTTTTCCTTTCCTTCAAAGAAAAATGCTATTTTATTTATGGTCTTCTTCTTCTTCCTAACTGCTTCTATAAGGCCTTGAAAGGGTCTTCTATGATTAAAGGACTCCAGAAGACTTTGAAAATAGCTTTCATGGATTTTCGGCTTTTAATGAAGACAACATATTCTTGTAGCTGGAAGATCGCCAATGGAGACTAATTAATTTGGCCTCGTCTCGAAAGGATTAAAGGACTCAAAAAGCTCTTTAATGGATAGAAGTCCTTGAGTGATACTTCTATGGAGTTTCGATTTTTAATATAGACTAAATATTCTTGTAGCTGAAAGACCATCATTGGGAGATACATCTTTCGGTCCCGTCGCGGAAACAAGATTCTTTTATGGAAGGTAATATAACCTTTTAAACGTGTTCCATGATTCTACACTTCGAAAACGGTTTTTTATCGGAAGCAGGCTGTTCACACAACTATTGCAAGTCATTGTTAAATTTTGTTGGCCGAGAAATGTTCCGAGTGGCAAATTTTAGGAACTTCCAGGAAATTTGGGGGAAATTCCTCTGGTAATCTTAAATTAAGGAAGAAACGCATGATCCTTGTCCGACTCATTGGGTTCAAGACTAATTTCTGTTTTCTGAATTTCTGTTCAGCAACACCGCACCAGGCTTTACCGTTTTGAGACCTATGGATCATTTATTTGGATAATTGCGGCAATTCAAGACCTACTCTGGGGAAATTCTTCGCTAAGTGAGCAATAAAATGATCCGTGCCCGGTTTACGTAATTCAAAACTACATATGAACTCTCTCGTGACGTCGAATTTCTGTTCAGCGGCATTACCTCAGGCCTTGCAGTATTATGGGACCTCTGGTCACTCTTTTGGATAATTGCGGCAATTCACGAGCTACTCTGGGGAAATTCTTCACCCTCATTACTATGACCGTCTATAAGTAAGTGGCCAATAAAATGATTTTTGTCCGGCTCACGTAAATCAAAACTACATATGAACTCTCTCGCAACGTCAAATTTCCCAGAATTGCTGAACAGAAGCATTACATTAGTTCTTGCAGTATTATGAGACCTCTGAAGCACATATTTTGTATATTGATGGCAATTCAAGAATAGCTTGTGAAAACTGTTCGTCCTCAGGACTGACAACATCTATATAGAGTTGTCATCATAAAAAATATCAGAATTTTTTCTAAACTTTAAATTTCCACATAGATTTTTTTTAATAAAAAAATTGAATACATAAAATAATAAAAAAAAGGAATTTAAATAAAAACTTAATTTAAAAAAAAAATAAATTTCTTAAGGAATAATTTTTTTTAGTTTTGAATTTTGTTTGGTTAAAATATTAAAAAAAAAACATCCTAATATTGAAGTCATTTTTTTACTTTAACAACAAAACATTGAAAATTCATTTGAAGAAAACTTAAGTGAGAACTTTCAAATAAAATGATTGATTTTTGGAACTATATTTTTTTAATATTAAAATTCCTCCACTAAGAAGTTCCTTAAGTATTAAGATTTTCTCGTTTTGTGTATTATTTCAATATACAAAGAAAATAATTTAGAATTTAAATAAAAACAAAAAAATAAATTTTAAAATTCAATTTAAAATATTCATTTTTTAGAAACGAGATTTATTTTCAATATCCCTTAAAAAGAGTCGTATAAAAATATCAAAAAAAAAAATTGTTCAAGTCTTTTCATATTGTTTGAAACTAAAAGAGAAGTAGCTATCGAATAACCTTTCTCAAACTTCAGTAAACACCAATATTTCGAATACTTCAAAATTTCCTCAAATTATTGGCATCATAAGGAACAGAATTCGTTATAACAATTTCATGCTGTAGTACTATTAATCAGGGATTATACATAATCACTTCGTTTTTCAAATATTGTTTAAAACAATAAATAATAATATTTATTCGTATTTAGATTCATTCATTCATTGATTTCGATCATGTTATACACACATACACATGTAGCAGATGTTGTAGTAATAGTAAGAAAAATATTATTTTCTTAATTAACAAAAAAGGAATAGGAAATATTTAAAATATTACTCTTTGAGTTCAAACATTTGCCTAACAGAACAGCGGCAGCAGCACACATTTACACGATGAGGAGATTTCAGTTATCATTTATTTTATTTTCATAGTTTCTTCATCATCCTTTTGCTGAGGGATTATAATTTATTGCAAAATTAAATGCAATTTCTTTCCTTTTTTCATTTTTAATGGGAATTGTTTTTCGTTGCCCTCAATCTCTTTGAATTATACCCTCTACCTCGTTTTGTATCGCATCACACACATTGAAAGCCTTCCATTCAGGCCAATTTCTCTTTTCTTTTCATCATTTTCATTATCATTCTCATCTTTTGCATATTGCTTTTTCTTGTAATTTGTTTTTGTTATTGTTGTGGTTCCGGTTCTATGTCCCCGCCGTTACTTTGCTTTTTACTCTCTTGGTCGATGGTATCGGCGAAACCATTGCTCATTGTACCCAAACCACTGCTGGCATCGGTGCCACTGCCACCACCACCATTCATGATCACATTTTGTAGTTCCTGAATCACATTCTTCTCCTGATAAAACAGCCGTACAATGTTCAACGAATCACTGGACTTCAAAAACTCCAATTGGAATGTTTCAGAGAAACGTACATCTACGAATTGGGCGAATTGCTGCTGCACCTCAGCCGTTTGGGGACATGTGGAGTCCAGCGAACAATGTTTGCTGTAACGCTCCATTTTCAACAGATCCTCGGGTAGTTTACGCAATTTATCAGTTATGGAATTGTTGCCGAAATCAATGTAATGTACTTCACATTTATTCTCTTCGAGTACGGCTACAATTTCCGCTCTATAGTAGGCACCATCTTCGGGAAATTCGGCAGCGCACAGGGCTCCAGCTTGAATATCGGTAAATTCGGCAAATTCACTCTCAGCATCGAGCAAAACATCGGTGACCTTTTCCAAGGCCGAGACATCCTTGCTCAGCTGGACATAGAAAGACTGTGGTGAATTGACGTGAATGATGCTGCAATCATGCAATTCAGGTAGGGGTGAAAATGCCTCCTCAATACCAGCAGCATCACTTTCCACTGCCTTTTGCAATTCCTCGGCCAGATCTTTGTAATTCACCTGTAACTTTACCGTATGTATCCTGGTGTTCTCATCATCCACAATGTCTTCCTCAATGTCGTAATAATCACCAAAATGGCTTTCAATCAGTGTGGCGAATCTTTCTTCCAGCACAGAGTCACTGACATTTGTGGGTATCTTATTCAATTGGCATCGCAAGGCCATTGAGGGAATGGCTCGTAACTCTTCCGACATTTCCCGTATCTCAGTTGTAACAATAGTATTGCCAAAGTCCAAGAGGAACACCTCATAACCACCCTTGTCATCGGCCAATATCTTTTCAATTCGTCCACGATAATAACGATCATCTTCCGGGGCAAAGGCAACACACACCATACCTAATTCACCTTGTTTCAACTCCGCCATGTCTGCCTTCACTTTATGGCTGGCCAGGGACTTGGCCAATTGTTCCATTTTTCCCGAGTTCGATTTCAATTGTATGTAAAATTGGGCCGGTGAGATGGCATGAGAAATGAGACAAGTTTTGGTGGCCTTCAACAGCTCTTCTTCGGTCATAACTGCCTCCTGGGTCATTGTCTGGGTGTTGTGATCAAGGCCCAATTGTTTGTTTAACAAATCACAAAGATTATCTGTACCATTCAAGGCCAAAACTTTCACAACGGCCGGCACGGAGCCCTCAGCTTCACTGAGTATTCCCACACGGACCTGGCCCTCCCATTGATTGATCAAATTATTGAAAATTTCCGTGGCAATGGAACCGAATTGCAAAAATTTGGCATAATTCTGCAATTGGCAATGACTGGACAAACTCTTGATATTCAACAGGTCTTGCGGCAGGGTTTTCAATTCACTGGTCACTGCCTCATTACCGAAATCAATGAACAAAACACGGTACTGTTTCTCGGGCATTATTTCCAAAATGCGAGCCCTGTACAAGGCCTTATCCTCGGGATAGACAGCAGCACAGAGCTGTAGTTTAGCTGGGTTCTCCAACGTTTCCATGTGTGTGGAATTCAGAACTTGGGTCATTTCCTCCAATTGGGCAGTGTCTCGGGTGAATTGTACATAGAAATCACATGGAGAATTGACATGTGACACAAAGGCATTATGACATTCGGTTTCGCAAATGGATGTCTGCAGGGATGAACTATTGAAACTGGTGTTCATTAAGTCTGCTGCCGTTTCGGGTAAGGGTTTCTTTTCACACAACTCCTGCAGCTCATTGTTAATATTTTGACCATCGATTAGCAAGTGAACAATGGCATGGTCCTTGGCTGGCTCACGTAATTCAACACTGAATATGGTCTCTCCTGTGGCGGCAATTTCCATGAACTTCTGTTCAGCTGCATCGGACCAGGCCTTGCAGTTTTCTGGCACCTCCAGAGCACATTTCTTGGACAATGGCGGCAGCTCGGCAATATCTTGGGAAATTTCCCTGCATTCGGGGCTAATACTTGTATTGCCATAGTCAATGAAGAGAACCTCATAACCATCGGGAACTTGTCTCACCAGTTTCGCTCTATACCACATTTCATCATCGGGGAAGAGAGCAGCCACAATTTTATTCTTTTCAAACTTCTCCAGTTTCTTCAACTTCTCATTGTCAGCCAAATAGATTTCAATCAATTCCAAACCCTTGGAGTCCTTCTCATATTGTATATAGAAATCGGATATACCATTTACATGAGAGATATAGCAATACAAACCCGATTCCACCAATTCCAATGGTTTGGCATAACCATCTTCTATGAGTTTCTCGGTAACATTAACACCCTCGATGTACAAATTGACGTAGCTCTTTTTGTTTTCACCACCATGGGTAATGAATTCGTAGTCCAGCACCTTGGTATAAGATTCATTGAATATGGCATTGGCAGCATCTAGCCAATCCAGGGTGCCATTTGGCCGTATGGGTAAGGCACAAGGTATGCACAAAGGTTCTACATCAGGGAAGACCAGCATCTCTTTGAGATCCGTGTTGTCGGTGACACAATCGGTGTTGCCAAAATCAATGAATTGTAAGACCATTAATTCGGCATCGAGAATCTTGGCACGATACCATTGTTTGTCCACCGAATACATGGAAATGCAATAGGCACCATTTATGACACGCATAAGCGGTGGCAATGAGCTGGCCACGATTTGTAGATTTTCCTGTAGCTTTTGTAAATCCTTGACCTTATCCATGGGATGTATAAAGAATTGGGCGGGGTTATTGCAATGGGCGAGAATGGCATGTTCCCAGTCGGCAAAGGGATTGACAACAGGCTCGGGTGTAATGGCTTTCTCCGGTTCTGGAATAGCTTCCTTTACGGGAGCAGGAGCAGGGACCGTAACGGGAACAGTAGTAGCAGTTGGCTTTTCCAATTCCTTGGTTGGTTTTTCAATTGGCTTTTTAGTTTCCTGGGTTTTAGCTGGCTGTTCGGCGACGGTGGCGGCCTTCTTATCCACTGCCACTTTAGTTTCTTCCACTTTAATTTCCACCGGTTTAATTTCTTTCTCTGTCGGTCCAGCTTCCTTGTTCTTCTTTTTCTTGGGCGATGCAGTTTTCGCTTTCTTATTTTTATCACCGCCCACAGCTGCCACAATTGCCGCTGCACTGGCTGGGGTCTCCTCTTCTTCATCCTCAATGGTCAGATCAACGCACTCAATATATTCCAATTGATTTGGTTTCTCCTTTTCCAAAACTTTGCGCATATAATCCACATCACGAGATTTAATCAATTTCTGTTCCTTCAACATGTCAATCATGTTACGACCGTCGGCCATTATCAACTCAGCAATCAAATGATTGTTCTTCACCTCCAAACATTTTACGGTGATTTCCTGATCCAAAGTCAAGCTGGTCAATTTATTGATTACAGCTATATCGGATTCATTGGAACCACCAGCTTGATTATTATTATTTCCCGATTTTTTACCCTTTTGTTTTTGCTGCATCTCAGCCGATAAGGTTTTCAGTGGTAAATTAATTTCCACACCATAGGCATCCTTATTTAAATAGAATTTCTCATCCAATTGTTTGAGATCTTTCTTCTCAACCAATTCCGTATTACCATAATCAATGTACAGCACTTCCACTGGGCCTTCGGCAGATTTGTTGTTTATAATGCGACCACGATACCAATTACCATCACTTCCCTTGGCTGCGCACACCTTTTCGGGTTCAAAGGATTGAAGCAGGGTACCTGAAAGAGAATGAAAGACAATTTTTGAAATCAATATGTTTTTGGTTTTGTTTAGAATTAGAATTTACCTTGATTTTCATAATGATTATACATGTCATCCAAAAGTTGAGCCATTTCCATTTCGGTGGCAATAATTTGTCCATAGACCCGATAAGGGGTTGATACATAACCAACACGTATCTTAAATGTATCCAATAGAATGGGTGCGGTGCAAATATACCAGGGTATATCTTCTTTCAGCAATGGAAGCAGGGGTCGTAATAGAACTCTGTAAAATGAAATAAGGATTAATCAGGAGAAAACCTTGGGAATGGTCCAAAGGAGAACTTGAAGTCTTCTATATTCCATAGAGGACTTTGGGTCCCATTATTTTCAATAGAAGACCTAGAGGTTCTCCATTTTCATAAGAAGACCTCAAGGACTTTGAAGCCAATATATGTTTTCGAAAATCAGTAATCAGAAGGAAACCTTGGGAATAGTCCAAAAAAGAACTTGAAGTCTTCTATATTCCATAAAGGACTTTGGGTCCCATTATTATTAAAAATAGAATACCTAAAGGTTCTCTATTTTCATAAGAAGACCTCAAGGACGTTGAAGCCTACTATTTTCAGTAGATGTTTTCAAGGTCTTCTATTTTAAGTAGTCGAGATTGAGGTTTTCTATTTCCGATGGAAAACATTAAAGTCTTCTATTACCAATAGAGGGGTATCAGGTCTTCTATTTCCGATAGAGGACCTTGAGGCCTTCTCTTTCTGATGAAGGACATTGATGTCTTCTATTTTCGTTAGAGGACCTTGAGGTCTTCTGTTTCGAAGAGACGACCATGAGGTCTCAAAAAATGTTTTTGAGGTCTTCTATTTCAAATAGTTGTGATTGAGGTCTTTTATTTTCGATAAAGGACCTTAAAGTCTTCTATTACCGATAGAGGAACATGAGATATTCTATTTCCGATAGAGGACCTATTTCCAATGCAGAACCTTGAAGTCTTCTATTTCCGATGAAGGACCTTGATGACTTCTATTTCCGATGGTGGATGTTTATGTTTTTTATTTCCGATCGATGACCTTGAGGTCTTCTCTTTTGAATAGACGACTTTCAATAGAGGACCTTTATGGCTTCTATTTCCGATAGAGGATCTTGATGTTTTCTATTTTCGATTGAGGACCTTGAGATCTTCTCTTTCGAACAGGCGACCATGAGGTCTCTAAATAGAGGACCTTGAGATCTGTTATCTTCAATAGATTGATTTGGGGACTTCTCTTTTCCATTGAGACCCTTGAGGTCTTCTATTTCTAATAGAGGAACTTGAGATCTTCTATTTCCTAAAGGGAGCACATTGAAGTTTTCTATTTTCAAGGTAAGTGCTTGAGGTCTTCTATTTTTCAATAGAGGACCTTGAGGTCTTTTATTTTCAATAGAGGATATTGTGATCTTCTATTTCCAATTGAGAGCCTTGAAGTCTCCTGTTTTATATTGAGACTTCGTCTTCTTCTTTTTTCAATAGAGGATCTTTAAGTCTTCTCTTTAGAATAGAGCGCCTTGACAATGGAGCACCTTGGGGTCTTCTACTTAAAATAAAATATTTTGAGGTCTTCTACTTGAGGTGTTCGATATTCGATAGAAGACCCTGATTTTTTCCAATTGCAATGTACGGCCTTTTGCTGCAGAGTATGTTCTCTTCTATCGACTACTTACACTTTATTATCATTGACATCCTTAACATTCAGGACACAGGATTTTCCCGCATAGAACTGCTTGAATTTTTTGGCAACATCCTGATTGGATTTCACATAGCGAACATCATCGTAGGAACACAACACCTCAATGTGTTTGATATTATCACAGCCATAGAAAGGTAATTGAATTTTAAAGTTAAGCATATCTTTGATGGAAGATATTTTGGCACGTACTTGTTGGCCAGCCAATAGATCCAAGCGGAGTTCTAAAAGCCAAACAGAAAAACAAATAATTATTAAAGTAATCATCATCAAAAAAAATCCTACTGTGAAATACTTTACCTGGACAGATTTCCGTAATCAGTTTTTCATTCTTCAGTGTCTCCTTGAGGGAAACCTTATTGACCATAACATTGACAAAGTACAAATCATTTTGCGAATTCTTTTCAATGTATTCACATTGCAGTGTTACACCCTGGGGCAAATATTTATCCATACGATCAATGATATAGAGATGATCATAGTTCGAGACTATGCCATCGAAACCACACAGATATGCCATAATGGGAAAATCGGCAAACTTCTTTTCCACCGGCCAAATATCTTCCGAAGTCACGGTGTACATGTTGCCGAAGTCAACAAAGTGTACCTTATATTTACGCAACATTTGATTGCAGGCCAAAATGCGGGCGCGATAGATGATATTGTCCTTGCGTTGTCGGGCCATTACATGGGAGCCCACACGCAGCTGCAGCTGTTGCAAAGGCAATTTGCTGTAAAATTGTTGAATCTCCTTCATGAAACGTTCAAATTCCACGGACCGAGATTTTAGTTGGGTATAGAATTGATGTGGCGATATCCACCAGGAAATAATGACCTCTTCGCGACATGGTGTCTCCAAGGGCTTGACCGGGAATCCCTTGTTCAATGGGACAAAATTATAGGCGGGTGTTTCTTTTTGTTTCGCCGCCCCACTCTCTTGGGATTTCTTTGAGGTCTCACTGGAAGTGTCTGTGGATTTCTTCGATGTTTCGCTGTTGAATGATTTGTTGTTCTGCTGCTGTTGTTGTTGTTGTTGCTGCTGCTGTTGCTTTTGTTGTTGTTGCTGGTTATGTTGTTTCAGTTGACTCTGTGAGAATCCTTGCGGTGCATTTTGTGGTCTCTGCTGCTTCTGTTGCTGTTGTTGCTGCTGTTGTTTTTGTTTATTTTGGAATCTTGGTGGAGTGTTGTTGGCCATTAGCTTGTTGTTATTGTAACTGCTGGCATTGCTTCGTTTATCACTTGCAACGGAATTGTTGGAGCTGTGCTGCTGTTGATTTTGATATTGTTGTTGTTGCTGCTGTTGTTTATGATTTGGATAATTTTTGTAGTATTGCTTACGTTGCTGTTGTGGCTGTTGCTGTTGATTCTGATTTGGTCTAAAGTCACTGGAGGTTGAGCGAGAATCCCGCGTCTCAGCCATCGAACTGTGGGAGCTTGTCTTATCCCACTCCGAATTGGAGACTGAACTCTGGAAGCTTTGATTATTACGCTGCTGCTGCTGCTGAGCATATTGTGTTTGCTGCTGCTGGTGCTGTTGTTGCTGCTTTTGTTTGTTTTGCATACGCAATTCTTCACTCTGGACAGTGGTGGAATTCAAAATCTGTCCCTTCTTGCTGGAATGGACAGATGTTACATCCGAAGCAATCGAAGGAGTCTTATGGCCATTTTCAGCATGGGCTGCTGCCAATTTGTGGACATTAAAATCATCCTTTTCCAATGTCAAATATTGTTCAAATGGCATCGAAAGTTTGTACAACTTTTTCATGACATTCAGATCCTTGGTGCAAAGATTCACCAGGTTGACACCATCCGGCTGAATGCGAAAGACTTTGACAGTAAATGACCTACGCTCACGATTCGATTCTTCGGCCAACATTTCGAATTGTGTTGTGGCCAAATCTTTGCTCAATTCATTGTTCTCGAAACCCTTTAAGCAGCACTGCACGGCCTGGCGCGGCAGCTTAAGATGCTTTTCCGCTATGGTACTCAGGAGATTCTTGGTTACCTTCTGCTCATAGCCAAAGTCCACATGCCGTACAATAATGGCTGTGGCATCGGCGCGCAGAACCTCAGCACGATACCATTCATTTTCATACTTCACAATACAGGGAGCACCGAGAGCCAAGTGATTGGGTACATTTTGATTTTTATTGTAGTACAAGAACATGTCATCCATCAGCTTTTCGAAAGCCGGAATATTGTCCACCTTTTGGACATAGAAATTTTTAGGCGAGTCAATGTAGCGAATCTCCACAACATCATTGTTACGCAAAGGCTCTGCCTTGGCATAAACCAAACGGGTCTTTTGTATTTGCCTCAAGACATGTAGTATGTTCTTCTCCTGCATATACAGTTCACAATACTGAACTAAGGGTGGACCTTCCAGAGGCATTACCTTTAGTTTACAGTTTTTGTAGATAACCAAATCCTTAAAGGCCTTTTTCAAACTATCATCTATGGGCTCCAATTCCTTGTGGCCCGACAGTGTGAAACGTATGGCAAATGCCTTGTATTTAAGGAACTCTTCGGGTATTTCATATAAATCTCTGTAGTGTACCATTTCGGCATTGCCATAATCAATGTAGGCTACCTTACAGGCCATCGGTTGGACGCCGGTAATCAAAGCACGATAGAGCTGTCCATCCTCAGAGTAGCGGGCAATACAAGCTGTACCCAACAAGGGCTTATCGTTGAACGGTTTCAACTCTACCTTTTCGATGCGATTCATCATGTCGGTCAGATCATCTTGATGTGTAACCAATTGGACGGAAAACAGGAAGGGGCCATTCTCAACGAAACTAATGCTAACATCGTAGATTTGTCCCACAACCAAATTGTTCGATTTAAAGGTGGCTGGAGTGGTACGACGGGGTGGTGAAAGGGGACTGATGGCGGCCACGGCTGAAGGTGTCAAGCCGCCGCCGTTATTCATGGCACCAAGTGTCTGCTGCTGCAGATGTGCTGGAGGTGGTGGTCTCTGATAGCGTGCATTATATACATTAAATTGTGGCACAGACGTTGGCATAACTCCAGGCAGGCCATTGTATGTTCCTCCTGTTGTTGCGGCAGTGACTAATGCATGGTGATGTGCTGCGGCGGCGGCGGCCGTATGTGGTGGTGGTGCTTGTTGGGCATAATGTAGACCGGTAAAGGGAATGCGATTGTTTTGTAAATGAATACCTGGAGAAAAGGGAAGAGATTAATGATGTTGGCAAATGAGCTGAATATCATATTAACTTACCTTGCATCATGGATCTTAGATTGCCAATTGACTGGGGCATACGTGGCTGTACTGGGCCAGACTAGAAAGGAAGGAAAAAAGAGTGATAATCATTAATGGAACTGTAAAAATATATTTATGATATATTCGTAGATCTTTTTTATCTGAAATATAGGGTATCTTATATTTGCATAATTAGCCTAAACAATGTCTTCCTTATATAAAGATAAGCCATAGATCTCATAATCGGAATAAAAAACCATAGCAGGAAGTGTTTTCCTCACAAATAACTTCTATGTGACCTTATATTTATGTAAAACCTACGAGAAGCATCAAGCCTTCATCAAGCTATCGGACACTCGGTCACTGGGCTTACCTAAGCATAGTCAAGAAAGATTCGTAATGGACATCTGGAGCACCCCCTTAATTTATACTAAAGTAATGCATGTCTCTAATTGGCCTTGTGGCCAAGAACTTAATAGTTTCATAATAATAATTAAGAGTTGTGTTAGGATACTTCCAATTGAAGATCACGAGAAAGTTCGAGAGGGACTATCTTAGCCCAACCTCTTTTAAGGGAACTTTCGATTAGATACCGAACAGAGGAGAAACCAGTCGAAGTTTCTAAAATATCGACGAATTTGAAAAGTGTCTGTTAACCTGGGAAGGTGGCTACTTTGGAGACCGGATCAAATCAATCCTCTAAAAATTGTTGCAAAGGTTTTGAAATCGAAGGTACAAAGCTGGCCTCTAAACCAAGGGAATGCAGGGCTCTATCAAATTCTTCAAACGATTCAAGTGATAAAGATCAAACCGAAGCCTTTCCTATACCCTTCAAATCGGCAACTGAACTCGCCGTTTGACTATTCGAATAAAATCAATAGGTAGACCTACATTGCATATTTTTTCAGGAAGAGTTAAGCTACCCTCTTTGAGTCCGTAATGTCAAATTACAGTTGAATTGGTTGGTAAATGGGAAGATACATCCGAAAATCAGGTGATACCGTTTATGGGGCCTAAACCAAAAAGTGGACTAACATTGAATATATATTTTCATATCCCCAGCCATATGGCTAGTGAGGGTATATATAATTTGATACGAGCAAAAAGTGCTTCATCGAAATAACAATTTTAGACCATAGGCATCTTTCCACCAAATGCGTTTCAGGACATTTGGAGTCGATCTAGCGATATCCTCCGTACGTCTGTCTATCTGGCTGGTGCGCGCGATAACTATCGAAGGGATTGCCCGATTCCATCCAAACTTGGTACATCGTAATATTATTGTCAGACTTAGATCGAGTTCAGAGATGGACAATATCGGTCCACTCCTTTTGGTACTTCCACCACAAAATGTCAACATTTTCAATGAAAATAATTTACTGCACAGAAAGAGAAAGAACAATCCGATTTTGCTAGGTCAGGAAAATGGACGAAAATGGACAATATCGTTTCACTCCATCCAGTACCTCCCCCACAAAGGGCCAAATTTTGAATAACAATAACTCTTATAAAATGTGATGTAAGTGTCCGATTGTCTTCAAATTACACACATCACGATATTTTTATAATCCCAAGGTTTGGTGTGAATATGGAATATATCGGTCCTCTCCTTCTGGTACTCCCCCACAAAGGGTTTGAATATCCATGAAGCTCATAAAACACGAAATTAACATCCGATTTCATTTAGACTTGGCTCATTTCAATATTTACATAAACACAAGATCTATTATAACGATGGGAGAGATCGAACTATTCTTTCTGGTACCTGCCCTACAAAGACTCGAAGTTTTGAATAACAAAAACGAGTATAAAATCCGAAATAATCATCTGGTTCTCTTCAAATTACACACCTCACAATATTTTTATCAACGCAAAGTCTATCGTGAAAATGTGATATATCTCATTCCGGTACCTCCCCCACAAAGGGTCATCGGATGGCTTCTTCGGAAAAGAACGAAGGAGCGTAGGGACAAAATCGAATTAATTCAAACTAAAACTCATTTGTTCCTCTACGAAGAAACCAGCCGATGGCTTAAGTCAGTCAAAAAAGGGTTTTATCTATTCTCATCTTCAAATCTCATACAGCTGTGGAATGTGCAAACAATTTCCTGTGGCTATCGAATATTAGTCTATTATTCCAAGTATCGAATGATCCCTTCCTTACTCTCCCTACTCACTCCACATCACTGTGGTAGACATTCATGCAAATCGCAAAAAAGTGCAACCAGTAAAAATTTCCCATTCCATCTAAAAGTGGCTGTCAATTATTGTCTAAATAAACTATAGATTCCAGAGAAACCTATCGAAAACATCTCACATATTTAACCCGGAAACCATAACTCATAAACCCACAAATAAACAACAACACAACAATTTATAAAATGTTTGTGTTTAGACAATTTCACATTTGACATGGTAGGCCTGACCGACACACATTTAAAGGAAACCAAAGAAATGTAAGAGAAAACCAAATACCAAATACAAGGAAGTGGTGAACTGTTTTATAGTTCCCCAAAACTACTTACCATCATAATATTCCGCATATTACCATGCTGGACTGCGGCCATGTGCATTTGTTGCTGTGTCAGATGTGGATGTTGCAACTGTTGGAGACGTGCTGAAAGAGCACTTCTACCAGCCAACATTTGGTGCTGGGGATGGCCGCCGCCGCCAATAGCAGCACCTGCTGCCATGCCACCAGCCATGTTGTTGTTGTTGGAATTGATAATAGATGCTGATGTTTGTTGATGATGATGTGCTGCTGCTGCTGGTGTTGGTATTGGTGTTGACTTTTGCTGCTGTTGATAATTTTTATTGTAGTAATTACTGTTGTTATTGTTAATATTCTTTTGATTATTCATATTCAACGTTGGCATATTATTGTTATTGAGGGCGGCAGCTTGTTGCTGCTGTTTTTGTTGTTGTTGCTTAAGAATTTTCGAAAAATTCTCAAACAACAAATCGTTGGCAATGGGTGCACCCATGGCCTTTTGGTGTATCAGAAATTCAGCAATATTGAATTCTTTCCATTTCATTGTGATGAATTTAAATTGATTAAACTGCAAGGGGGAAGAGGAACATTAGTTTCAGTTTTTCAAAAAAGGCCAAACCGATGAGCTATACTTACTTCTTTTATAATGGAAACCTCTACGGTATGATGTGAAATCATTCGTGTCAATTCATCTAATTGTGATTTCTTCCAGTCTTCGCAAATGCCCAAAACTATATATTGCGAGCACATAGTGGGGACATTTGCTATTTCTTCTGGATTTTGTGGAAATAGTAACTGAAATGAGAACACAGAAACAAGAAGTAATTAAAAATTATTAAATATTGAAAATATTAAAAAAAAATACAATGATTTTATATTATAAAAGAAGATGGCATTGCTGAAAGACACTAAGCGTCTGTAAATCATGGACATTGAGTGCTAATACCAAAAAGAGGAGAACGGAACCGATGGCCTGATTAATGACTAAATTGGCCATCTTCAAATCTCTAAAATTTGGAAGTTGGGATTATACCATTATGTATTGAATAGTTTTTTAAAGAAGTCAATCTTTAACGCCACTAAGAATCGGAAATATCAAATTAAAGCTAATTTCAAAATCTCGAAATACTAAAAATCAGGAAGTATAGTTACGTACCAAAAGTTGACCTACATTGAATATTTTTCCAGGAGGAATTGAGCTACCCTTTGTGAGTCCGCAGTGTCAAATAACAGTTGAATTGGTTGGTAATTGGGAAGATACATCCGAAAATCAGGAGATACCGTTTTATGGGGCATATACCGAAAACTGGACTAACCCGACCGACCCTTTAGACGATATATACATTTATGCTGAGATGGAAAATGGCAAGGGTGTGGGATCTGAATCAACTGATTTTAAAGTCGACCACACGCTGAACCCACCTTTCTGTATTTTTATCAGGATTACAGAGGATGCCAATGTAGAGGCAAATCCTACAATGAATATTTTGTAAGTGTTGTAAATCTTTTCAATAAAATAGCTGAATTAGTTGAAAGTTCGACCCAAAACCGTCGAAATATCAAAAAGTGGACCTACATTGAAGATTTTCATGAGGATTAAATCTGCCCACAAATAGCAGTTGATTTGTTTTTGAAAATTTGGGGCCAAAAAATCAAACGGGACGTAGCAAATAAAAAGCCATATATTGGAAACAAATCCTTCAAAAAACCCGAAGGCTTCTACGAAGTGGTACTGCCTGATTCAACTTTCGATTCCCCGTCAGTGTGATTTCCATTGTCCTTTTTTCGCCGCGACCGAAACATACGAGAAACATACGGTTATACTGCCTGCGCCATCACTATTTACTTCGCCTCGGGTTGCTGGGCCCTCAGTTGATCTTTTTCTCTTCACCGCAACTGGCTGCTAGTGGCATTTCGTCGCCTTTTGGGCCCATTTGACGAAGTTGGCGCAGACTGTGGGGTTTTTCTGACCGCTCGCCATGATCATCTTATGGGCAGACTTTGCCCTGCCCTTCGGTTTCTTCACCTTCGACCCTGTTGTGGCAGGTGGAGATGGCGAAGTCACAGCTAGGATCGGCAGTGTCTGATTGGATAATTTAGAGGAAGATTTCGACCTGGTCATCTTTCTCGCAGACGTTTTCCAGATCTGCGTTGTCTTTCTCCGAATTTGGGTGGTATCTCCGGATCTGAAGCCATAGCAGACGTTTTAATAGACTGCTTAAACTCTGTCTCCTTCGAAACTATCTTTCCAGGTAAGTAGGTACATTTCGCAGTCGTCGACAGGTTGCACTGTTGCTCTGTAAGTGAGATTCCTTCTTATTGGAAGATCCCTTAAAATTGTGTCGGAATAGTTGCTTTCGAACTTTTTAACGATCTGCAGATCAGTTTTGATAATTTGTAACTGTAATCTTGGCCGGACCCCCAATCAACATAAGGATTGTGGTAATTAACTGCTCGTCTTCTTTTTGTCTCTCACCACTTTGGATTTGGCCCTTTTGGCGACCGGAGAAGAGAGCGACAACGCTTCTGCCTCAAGCGCCTAGACAGCAAGGGCTTAACTAACTAACCTAACCAACAAACTTGGGCCAAACCCTTCGAAATACAGAAAATAAAGAGGTACTGGGTTATACCAAAAAGTGAGATATTTGGAAAATTGGGACCAAATATCGTCAAAATATCGAAAAGCATGAGATACTGTCATTACATGGGGCTATACCAAAAAGTTTATTCACATTTAATATTTATAGAGAATGATTTCTCTACGAGAAATATCAAATTACAACGGATTTGGTTGGAAACCAGGGCATCTCCAATCTGAAATCTCGTTATATGGGTTTACATAGAAAAAATCGATTTCCAATCAAGAGGGCAGCATTTAAATTGGTTATGGGGATTATATTGAAATGATCGACCATCCCACAGATTTTACGAAGCGACATATTTTCAATCGTATGATAAGATATCCCCTCTTTTATGGTTAAGGGTATTAAAGATCTCCCTTTTTACGAAATTCCAGGAAATAGTGTTCTATTTCAAGTCACCATAAAATCTGATAGAAAAATCTAGTTTTGTATTACTTTTTTCTTTTCAAAACAGTTTGTTCTTCGTCGAAAAATATGGCACATTCGATTGACTGGCTCTGTCTCAATGTCTCATTATCGTACATCCACCGTTCACATTAACATTGAAGCTGATAATGACGACATGACATTCCAAGTCTTATTTGGATAAAACCGGCTCGGTAGCAGAGTGGGTGTATAAAATAATTGCTTAACCACCATCAGCCACTATCCGTCGTTTAGTAACATGGGTTGTTGGCAGCAACCGACCATAAAAGACGAAGCGTGAACTATGCCGCTTAGTTCTCGACGACATCACACAGCAAAATAGAAGAGGGGGGGTTTTGAGAATTTATTAGCAATCTATGAGAGGTATGTCATTTGCTGCGATAAATAATTAAATACAAAAAAAAAAATGATCAAATAGATATTTGCAAAAGCTTTTAAAGAAAAAGAAGAAAAGAAAAAAAAACAAGTTAAAAAGCAGAATGTTCCGCCGGGTCGAACTTTGAATACCCTCCACCATTTGAAACGAATTTGAAAATTTTCACAAAATAAAATCCTTAAAAATTTCTGTTTAAATTTTAAAAATACCGAATATAGCCATTTTATTGGGGTCTATACGACATGGACCTACATAGGCATTGTTTGTCATAAGCCATTACCATATTTAAATTCGAAAAAATAAAAATAAACGGTGAATAATGTAGCTAAAATCATCAAAATATCGTATATAGGAAGGTAGCGTTATATCGGAGCTGTGCGAAGACCTGAACCAGCATAGACAATTTTCTGCCATAGATTGTAGCATCCATTACGAACTTCAAATACGCGTCTCAAACAATTTCGGTGGGTATTGTACCTAAACTCGTCAAACTACCGAATATAGGGGGGTACTGATATATGGGGCCTATACGAAGACCTGTATCTGCATAGACAATTTTCTGTCACAGACTGTAGATCCCATTACGAATTCTAAATACGTAATTTGAAACAATTCCGGTAAACAATGACGATAAAATTATCAAAATACCGAATATTGGGTGGTGCCGTTATATGGGGGCTATACGAAGACGTGGACCTGGCACAGACAACTATCTGTCTTAGGCTGTAGTATCCACTACGAACTTTAAATAGCAAATTTGAAACAATTCCGGTAAATAATGTAGCTAAAATCATCAAAATACCGAATATCGGAAGGTACCGTTATATGGGGGCTATACAATGAAGAGGACCTGAACAGACAATCTCCTGTCATAGGCTGTAGCATCCATTACGAAAATCAAATACCAAATTTGATACAATTCCGGGGAATAATGTTGCTAAAATCAACAAAGTACCGAATATCGGGCGGTTCCGTTATATGGGGGCTATACGAAGAGGTGGATCTGCACAGACAATTTTCTATCTTGGGCTGTAGCATCTGTTACCAACTTCAAATACCAAATTTGAAGCAATTCCGGTGAATAATGTAAGTAAAATCATCAAAATACCGAATATCGGGAGGTACCGTTATATGGGGACTATACAAAGACGGGGACCTGATCAGACAATCTGCTGTCATAGGCTGTACCAAATTTGACACAATTCCGGGAATAATGTTGCTAAAATCATCAAAATACCGAATATAGGGAGGTACCGTTATAGGGGGGCTATACGAAGAGGTGGACCTGCACAGACAACTTTCTACCTTGGGATGTAACATCCGTTACGAACTTCAAATACCAAATTTGAAGCAATTCCGGTGAATAATGTCGAGTAAATCACCAAAATACCGAATATCGGGAGGTACCATTATATGGGTGCCTAGACCTATATGGCCCATTTCAAATACCAAAAGTCCTGCAGACATAATAAACATTTGAGTAACATTTTATCAATCTACTTCATTTCGTTTGGAAGCTAGAGTGATTTCCACAGACGGGTAGACGGACGGACGGACGGACATCGCTAAATCGATATAGAATTTTATGCTTATCAAGAATATATATACTTTGTGAGGTCTAAAATATATATTTTGAGGAGTTACAAACGGAATAACAAACTTAATATACCCTCCTTACTATGGTGGAGGGTATTAAAACAAATTTGATAGATAATTTTTTGCAAGGCTATGATTACATTTTTTGAGATTTGTGTTGTTATTATTATGACGAAGATCTTTCGAAAATATAAGCTAGATATACATTATTTGAAATTAATTGGATTATGACAAGTCAGGAGTTACTGGGAGGGATACTAAAAATGTACATGGGATTTATGGGGATATTGACCTATTATTAAATTTACATTAACATTATTTTTCTGAACATTCCCACAAAAATCTATTTAGAGCGATATGGACAATAGCGGATTACTTTACATAAACCTTTAACAAAAATTCATCATCAAAAATTATACATTTTTTGTTTGCCAAAAAAGAAGTATAAATTTGCAATTTCATATACCCACCAATTAAAGCTTAACGCTGGCACGACAACTAAAAAGCCACCACACATCAGCGGTGATTAATTAAAGCTACTTTAGATGCAAGACAACGATTTGTTCATTGATTCAGTTGAAATTTCTCTATCTCGTGCAGTTTCTTTTTCTCTTTTTTTTTTCAAAATAAAAAAATATATATATTTAAATATCAGGCAAGGCACACACACTAAAAGTAATTCAATGTCTGCTGTAGGTTTACTGAAGAGGAAAAAGCAATGAAAACAACAGCAACAACAAATGAATGCACATATAATTTAATTGCGATTCATCATTAATTTATTAGATATTGTCAGATAAAAATTAAGCCACACAAGAACAAGAAAAAAGCAATGAATTGCTGCAAAAATGATTAAATAAAGAAAATGATAAACAAAATTTCGTATAGCAAGTTTTTAGTTTTTAGTTTTTTTTTCTAGAAAAATATTTTTCAAAAATTGAAGATATGTCAAATAACAAAGGTAAAATTGCTGTCAAACTCTGGGAAAACAATTTAAATAGTATCAGTTAGTGTGACCGACAGATGTGTTCCCTCAGCCAATGTCCGTTTATTTAGATATCCAGGGTGAGATGAAAAAAACAGCAACTAACTTCAGACTGCTGTCATTCCTAAGCCACTCGTCCGACAGCTGTTAAAATTATTCTAATGACAGCTCATTATATTGTTTGCAAGCGTACAAAAGCATTTTGGTGAGAATTTTCCAAAAAAAAAAAAGATATTCGTGATGGAATTCAAGCGTGATAGTGTGATTTCTTTATATTTAGCTGAAAAACCACAAGTGGCTATTGTTAGAGCACTCCAGCATTTAAATGTAAATAAATCTTCTGTGACTCGTACCATCGCTCGTTACCGAGATACTGGTAGCGTAGTCCGACGTCAAGGAAATGGACGGAAGAAAAGAACAATATCAGCAGAAATGGTTCGAAAAGTAAAGAAGCGACTTTTCCATTCGGCAAATACTGAAAAACGAGCCAATGAAATTCCAAAAAGTGCAAGAGCTCACACCGCAACAGAAAGACAATAGACTCAAAAAAGCTAAACAACTGCTTCCCTTGGCCGAAAGTGGTGAACTGCCGAATTAGGTGGTCTCCGATGAGAAAACATTCGTTGTCCAGCAGCTTGTTAACAAACAAAATGATCGTGTTTACTTGCCAAAGAGGTCAGCTGAAAATGTGTATCTTCGGTTGACCACCAGAACTCAAGCGCCGGCTATGGTGGGTGGGTGTGGGCCGCCATAACAGCCGATGGTCACTCTCCGCTCGTATTAATCGACCGTGGCATCAGAATAAATGTCGAATATTATCGCGAAAATATTCTGGAGGGTGTATTAAAACCTTGGGCTCGCAAACATTTTCGCCGCTGACCTTGGACATTCCAACAGAATTCAGCATCATCGCACTCAGCACACGACACCCAAAAATGGTTACAAAATGAGGTTCCTCGCTTCATTTCCAGCGCACAATGACCACCAAAATCTCCGGATACCAATCCGTTGGACTATTGTGTCTGGAGTACTTTGGAAAGACACTAAAACGGTAGGCACTAAAAAATACCAAAGTGTCGATCACCTCAAGCAAGCGCTTTGTCGGGAATGGGCCAAAATACTGCAGAGCAACATTCTGGCAGCGTGTGGCGGTTTAATTGGGCGTTTGAAGGCCATAATTCGTGACCAATTCGAACAAATCTAAACTTATTCTAAAATTTGATGCTATTTCCGACATTTATTGATTTCCTTCAATAAAATTTAAAAAAAAAATGTTAAAATTATGGCGTTTGACTTTGTTGCAGTTTTTTTCATTTCACCCTGTGTTTACATTAGATCTTTGGTTGATAGAGATATAGAGATGTGAATTTTTGGCTGATTCTGTTGGAAATTGTGTGAAAAACCTTCAAAGTATCGAAAATCTAGAGGTAGCGTTATATGGGGTCTATACCTAAACTTGGACCAATATAGCTCATTTTAAATACCAATCAGCCTACATATAACATAAGCCTTTGTAGCAAATTTCAAAACTATAGATTAAATAATGTGGACTACCATTGTATAGAATCGGATATTTATTTCGCCTTTTGGTTATTTCCCGCTTTGTGAGAGAGGTACCAGATGGAATCGTCCAACATTGTCCATCATTGCATTTGACCTTGCACTCATAAAATTATTACGACTTACAATATCTTATCCTAGAAGGCAAGAGTGTTTTTGAACGTCTTCCACTCATAGAACGCCAGAAAGCAGTCTCATAGAAGGCCACCAGGTCTTCTCATAGAAGGCTAGAAGGTCATCTTCTAGAAATCCAGAAAATCTTCTCATAGAAGGCCAGAAGGTCTTCTGATAGAAGGCCAAAAGGTCTTCTCACAAAAGATTGGAAGATCTCTCGCAGAAGGACAGAAGATCTTCTTACAGAAGGCCAGAAGGTCTTCTCATAGAAGGCCAAAGGGTCTTCTCATAAAAGGTCGGAAGGTCTTCTTATGGAAGGCCAGACGGTCTTTTCATAGAAGGCCAGAAGATCTTCTCATAGAAGGCCAGAAGGTCTTCTCATAGAAAGCCAGAAGGTCTTCTCATAGAAGGCCAGAAGGTCTTCTCATAGAAGGCCAGAAGGTCTTCTCATAGAAGGCCAGAAGGTCTTCTCATAGAAGGCCAGAAGGTCTTCTCATAGAAGGCCAGAAGGTCTTCTCATAGAAGGCCAGAAGGTCTTCTCATAGAAGGCTAGAAGGTCTTCTCATAGAAGGCCGGAAGGTCTTCTCACAGAAGGCCAGAAGGTCTTCTCATAGAAGGCCAGAAGGTCTTCTCAAAGAATGCTGGAAGGTCTTCTTATAGAAATCCAGATGGTCTTCTCATAGAAGGCCAGAAAGTCTTCTCATAGAAGGCCAGAAGGTCTTCTTATGGAAGGCCACAATATCTTCTCATAAAAGGCCAGTAGTTATTCTCCTAGAAGTCCAGAAAGTCTTCTCATTAAAGTCCAGAAGGTCTTCTCATAGAAAGTCAGAAGATCTTCTCATTGAAGGTCAGAAGGTATTCTCATAGAAGGCCGGAAGGTCTTCTCATAGAAGGCCGGAAGGTCTTCTCATAGAAGGCCGGAAGGTCTTCTCATAGAAGGCCGGAAGGTCTTCTCATAGAAGGCCAGAAGGTCTTCTCATAGAAGGCCAAAAGATCTTCTCATAGAAGGCCAGAAGGTCTTCTCATAGAAGGTCAGAAGGTCTTCTCATAGAAGGCCAGAAGGTCTTCTCATAGAAGGCCAGAAGGTCTTCTTATAGAAGGCCAGAAGGTTTTCTTATAGAAGGCCATAGAAGTTCAGAATGTCGTCTCATGGAAGGCCGGAAGGTCTTCTCATAGAAGGCCAGAAAGTCTTTTCATATAAGGTCAGAATGTCGTCTCATGGAAGGCCAGAAGGTCTTCTCATTAAAGTCCAGAAGGTCATCTTACAAAAGGTCGGAAGGTCTTCTCATGGAAGGCCAGAAGGTTTTCTCATTGTAGGATCTTCGGACAAAATATACCTTAAAGCAAAAAACAACTCGTCTCGAAAAAAAATATCACAATATATATTTTTGGTCAGGTAAACAACAATCGTTGCATTTGTTTTCATTTAGAAATAAATTATTTTTACTGTGACACTTTATCGTTCGAGGCAGATATTTTGTTTTGATTAAAAGAAAAAATCTCCTGCAAACATAAATTTTATATGAAAAATTTTTCGTGCTGACAAAAAAATAAAGATTTGCAAAAATTTGGTCCTATTTGAAATCATTTTGGAGTAAATCTCCGACAGAAGAAGAAGCAGACATGAGTTGTCGGATGGTGTGTACCGGCGAAGGGGCAACGACCACGACATCTGGTGGAAAATGCATGAGACCGGGTCCAATGACACGAAATGGTTATTTGAACTTTTTACGAGAATATCGTCAAAAACATTGCGGCTTAACGGCCGTGGAAACGGTGCGACAGGGAGCCTTTGCATGGAACAAATTGTCCCAAGAAGAAAAGAACCGCTACAAAAAAATGGTAAAGAATTTAAGAGAAAAATGTAATTGAAATTTAGTAATGCATTTCCACACATGTACATGTCCCGTTGACAGGCTTCAGCGGTTTCCAGCCGACCTCGTCGCAGTGCTTTTGCGCCGCGTAGAATGAGACGCAGTGCAAGTTCTAGATCTCGACGTTCCGCTCGTAGAACAACGATGGCTGCTGGTAGAACATCGCGTCGAAGGCAACGGCGTGCCGCAAAACGTAGACGAAACTAAAATTCCTTGGACGAAATTGAAATGTTTTTGTAGTATCAAATTTTGTCGTCATAGGAATTATTTTAAATAAAATTTAAATGTTGTTTTATCCCCAAAATATTTTTTTTTCTTTTATTTCAATTGAAGGTCAGAAGGTCTATTCATTGAAGGCCAGAAGGCCTTCTCATAGGACAGAAGGTCTACTCATAGGACAGAAGGTCTACTCATTGAAGGCATTCTCATAGAAGGCCAAAAGGTCTACTCATAGCAGGCCAGAAGGTCTTCTCACATAAGGCCAGAAGGGTTTCTCATAAAAGGCCAGAAGGGCTTCTCATAGGCCAGAAAGTCTACTTTACTCATTGAAGATCAAAAGGTCTACTTATTGAAGGCCAGAAGGTCTACTCATAGTAGGCCAGAAGGTCTTCTCATAAAAGGTCATAGAAGGCCAGAAGGTCTTCTGATAGAAGATCTTCTCATCGAAGGCCGGAAGGCCTTCTCATAGAAGGCCAGAAGGTCTTCTCATAGAAGGCCAGAAGGTCTTCTCATAGAAGGCCAGAAGGTCTTCTCATAGAAGGCCAGAAGGTCTTCTCATAGAAGGCCAGAAGGTCTTCTCATAGAAGGCCAAAAGGTCTTCTCATAGTAGGCCAGAAGGTCTTCTCACATAAGGTCAGAAGGGCTTCTCATAAAAGGCCAGAGGGGCTTCTCATAGAAGGCCAGAAAGTCTATTTTACTCATTGAAGGTCAAAAGGTCTACTTATTGAAGGCCAGAAGGTCTACTCATAGTAGGCCAGAAGGTCTTCTCATAGTAGGCCAGAAGGTCTTCTCATAGAAGGCCGGAAGGTCCTCTCATAGAAGGCCAGAAGGTCTTCTCATAGAAGGCCAGAAGGTCTTCTCATAGAAGACCAGAAGGTCTTCTCATAGAAGGCCAGAAGGTCTTCTCATAGAAGGCCAGAAGGTCTTCTCATAGAAGGCCAAAAGGTCTTCTCATAGTAGGCCAGAAGGTCTTCTCACATAAGGTCAGAAGGGCTTCTCATAAAAGGCCAGAAGGGCTTCTCATAGAAGGCCAGAAAGTCTATTTTACTCATTGAAGGTCAAAAGGTCTACTTATTGAAGGCCAGAAGGTCTACTCATAGTAGGCCAGAAGGTCTTCTCATAGTAGGCCAGAAGGTCTTCTCATAAAAGGTCATAGAAGGCCAGAAGGTCTTCTGATAGAAGGTCTTCTCACATAAGGCCAGAACGTCTTCTCATTGAAGTCCAGAAGGTCTTCTTATAGAAGGTCAGAAGATCTTCTCATAGAAGGCCAAAATGGCTTCTCATAGAAGGCAAGAAGGGCTTCTCATAGAAAGCCAGAAAGGCTTCTCATAGAAGGCCAGAAGGGCTTCTCATAGAAGCCCGGAAGGTCTTCACATAGAAGCCCGGAAGGTCTTCACATAGAAGGCCGGAAAGTCTTCACATCGAAGGCCGAAAGGTCTTTACATAGAAGGCCGGAGGTCTCCGTCTGGCTCCAAAGAGAGTTGGACAGTGGAAAAATAAGTGCTCCACCGTCGTGGTTTCCTCCTCGTGCTGACAAAGCCTGCGGTATTCGGCAATTAACTCCAACTCTAATATATAGAGTAAAGTGTGTTTTTGGGCCCTTTCTTCACGCTTACACCGATAAATCTTTCCCACTCAGGTTAGTGGTCTGTAATATTACTCCGATATAAAAGCACGAGTAATTATTTCTTCGGGCGGTTCACCCGAAACTTCCTTTCAGTCCAGTGTTAAAAGATCCAAGGGTAAAATATGAAGAATCACGTTCAGGGAAATTTTCGGGGACGTTTTTTTTTTTACTCCGGAAAATAGAAGCAAGAAGGTATGGACAGTAGAAATAGTACACAGATTATTGCTGCTACACTACTTGGTAATAGGACTCAAAGACTACGATCATTTTGGCATGGCAAACTTGCGGCCCTAGGCCCACATTTTTCTAACAGCTTTCAAATAATGTTCCAATGGCACTCTATCTAATATGGACAGCGGGAAATATGGCATTAGAGAATATCAAATGTAAATATGTATATTTTCACATTTCATTAATCAAGCGTGCTGCTGCTTCTGCTGCCAGCTTTGGTTTCTTCCGACTTGTTGCAACAGACTTTGAAACAAAATTACAAACGAAATAAAAAACATATCAAAACACGACAACTTTTGAAAGGTTTCGAAAGCATCAGACAGACACACAACAACACCACACACATTGTGCACGGAAACCCATTGAAATCTGCCAAAAATGTTGAACAAAAGGCAGAAACGCATTATGGAGAAATTAAAAGTCCATAAAAAGTAATAGTTTTCACAAGCAAAAAATACAAAAACAAAAGCATATGCATATGCATGCTACCTATAGAGCTAGATTAAACGGGCCACAATGCAATCAATCAGACACAATTACCAGCCACCATCAAACAGCTTTGCTTGGTTGCCTTGCCTGTCTGACTGCCAGCCAGCTTGGATGCCTTTAGGGGGCGGGGACTGCTGCCTTGCTGTTTCTGGCTGGTTAACGTTGTGATGGTAATTTGACGGCCGCTGGACAATGTGCGCCGGCGGCGGCACAATCGATTGTGATATTTGCTATACATTCTGACACACAAACGTACGCTTTAGTTTGAGTGAGCTAATGCACATCACACTATACGAATATTAATTAATGCTTGAGCGATGATGCATAACTCAAAATATGTGCCTATTTCGAAAAAAATATGAAATCAAAGACGACGTAAAGTTTGGCTAGGTCGGAAGTTGATATACCCTCCCTTTTAAGTTATCATGAGAACGAAAATTAACAGCCTGTTTATGTAAGTCAAAGAAAAAGAAAACACCAATTCGAATATATCAGTTGATACGGCTAAAACGTGCCTCATCAAAATAACGGTTTTAGATCGTAGGTCTCTTTAAACCAAAACCGTTTCAGGACATTTGGAGTCAATCTAGCGATTCTTGTCCGTTTGTCTGGCATCTGCGCACAATAACTCTCGAAGTGATTACCCGAAATTGAATATAATTGTCAATCTTAGATCGAGTTCACAGATGGGCAATATCGGTCCACTCCTTCTGGTACCCGCCCCACAATATGTCAACATTTTTTTCCAACTCTGCAAATCCTAATTAGCCCCAGTGCTAGGTCAGGTGCGAAAATGGACCATATCGGTCCACTCCACCAAGTACCTCCCCTACATTTTGAATAATTAAAACTCTTATAAAACGGGATGAAAGCCTCCGATTGTCTTCAAATTATTACATACATCACAATATTTTTATTAAGTCAAGGTCTGATGTGAAGATGGGTCAAAATTTTGAATATTCATGAAGCTCATAAAACACGAAAATAACATCCGTTTCCATTGAGACTTAGCACATCTAAATATTCATTAATACAAGATCTGTTATAAAGATAGTAGAGATCGGACCATTCCTTCTGATACCTTCCCCTCAAAGGGTCAAAGTTTTGAATAACAAAAACGATCATAAAATCCGAAATAAGCATCTGGTTCTCTTCTAATTACAAGCATCCAAATGTTTTTAATAACCCAAGGTCTTTTGTGAAGATGGGATATATCGCTCCAATTCTTCTGGTACCTCCCCCACAAAGGGTCAACATTTTGAGTATCGATTACATTCAGACTTAGCACACCTCAATATTTCCATCAACACAAGATCTGTTATAAAGATAGTAGAGATCGGACAATTCCTTCTGGTACCTCCCCCACAAGGGGTCAAAGTTTTGAATAACAAAAATGATCATAAAATCCGAAATAAGCATCCGGTTCTTTTCAAATTATACACATCACAATATTTTTAATAACCCAAGGTCTGGTGTGAAGATGGAATATATCGATCCACTCCTTTTGGTACCTCCCCCACAAAGGGTCAAAATTAAATAATTTTAGAATTTTACGAATATATACGTTGTTTGGCCGAAAATATTTGTTTCAATTATTTACAAACAGAATGGAAAGCTTAATATCCTCTTTATAAAATGGAATGAAATTCCTAAGCGGTCATAATGTTATTTTGCAAAATTAACATATGACACATTTTAACCATCAGAAAATAGTAGCCGAACATTTGCATTCCAATACCACACCCATTCATTCATTCATTGGCATTAGTGTGCCGAACTATGTCAAAACAAATCATAAACAAAATGACAAAAAACGCGCTAATACGATGACAATAGTCAAAATAACAAAACGAACAAACAAAAAAGAAAACCGCCAACTTCCTCCACTTACCTCATAACTGACCACCGTTGCAGTACAGCCATAATCGATAATATCTATTTCCACTTTTGGCGGTGTTTGCGCCGATGGGGTGGCTGTGTTGATGACTTTTGTAATGCGTGAACGTACAAATTCAAAATCTGCCGGTGCGGCGCCATTAATACGTTTATAAAGACACATGGCACCAGGCAAAAGGAGAGCCTGTTGACGTTGCACCGGCCATGATGGTTCGATGGTATAGCATTTTGGTAAGATTTTTTGAACCTGCAATGAAAAAGAGGACAATGAAAGTGGGAATGAGTACAATGTTAAAAAAAACATGTTTATAAGAAGTTATGTTCGGTTGGACCGAACTTTTTTTATATCGTACACCGTGTGATGAGTGAATTTATGGAATAAATGGCTATATTGAAAATAACTTAAATTTAGTAGTTCCGTTATATGAGGGCCAGGGATGTATTTCTAAACCAACTGGCAAAAAAATAATAATAAAACCCAATAAGGAAGTCAAAAGTCGGGCGGGCCGACTACAAAATAATTTATTTGAAGTAGAGCATACCACCTATCAACCATTGGCTTTAGATCAGTTACAATTTGGTTTCAGAGGGAACCAATATATTATTGGAGGCATATCAAATCCTGCATCGATTTTCACTAAATTTGACGGAGATACTTTTGTCTTTTATACCAAAATGGAAACGTACGACCCGAAATTCACTTTGGCTGACATAAGCCATTATTTGCACAATAAACATGATATCGCATTAAGGATGTAAATGATAGCTACAGCCAAATCTCGATAAAATTTGGCAAAGGTAAGAAGTAAGGAGCTCTATAAGATATCTCGGATGTACCAAATTTCCATTTCCAAATTATCCAAATTTGAACCGATCTAGATAAAATTTGGCATGGATATTTCTGGGCTGTATATGATATCTGGTACTAAATATTATTGTTTTCGAATGCATATTACGAAAGTGAGGGACTTAAACACCAAATCGGATTAAACATATGTGTGGGAGCTATAGCTACATCTGAACCGTTATATTTTCACCAAATTTGATGTACTTGCTTCTAGGCTCAATTCGGTTGGATGTGCCAAAATTGAGGACATTTGGACTGATATTGGCCATTTATTGCACAATTAACCCGAAATCGGTTGAAGATATATGTGGGAGATATATCCAAATTTAAACCGACCTTGATAAAATTTGACAGAGGTATTTCTGGGCTGTATCTGATATCTGGTAACAAATATCATTGTTTTCGAATGCATATTACGAATGTGAGGGACATAAACACACAATCGAATGAAACATATATATGGGAGCTATAGCTAGATCTAAACCGATTTTCACCAAATTTGATGTACTTGCTTCTAGGCTCAATTCGGTTAGATGTGCCAATATTAAGGACATTTGGACTGATATTGGCCATTTAATGCACAATTAACCCGAAATCGGATAAAGATATATATGGGAGCTATATCTAAATTTGAACCAATCTTGATAAAATTTAGCAGAGGTATTTCTGGGCTGTATCTCATATATGGAACCAAATATCATTGTTTTCGAATGCATATTACGAAAGTGAGGGACATAAACACCAAATCGGATGAAACTTATATGTGGGAGCTATAGCTATATCTAAACCGATTTTCACCAAATTTGATGTACTTGCTTCTAGACTGAATTCGGTTGGATGTGCCAAAATTCAGGACATTTGGACTGATATTGGCCATTTGGTGCACAATTAACCCGAAATCGGTTGAAGATATATGTGGGAGCTATATCTAAATTTGAACCGATTCTCACAAATTTCTATAGGGTTCATACTTGGGCCAAACAAATAATGTTTGCAAAATTTCATCTCAATCGGATAATAAATGCAACCTGCATTTTGTTCACAGAATACATGTACAGACGAAAGGACGGACAGAGAGGCGGGCTGATATGCATAAATCGACTCGGAAAGTGATTGTATGAAGATCCGCAAAAGCAACTATAGTTCTTTCTCGCTTCTTTCTCCATTTTACAAACAAATGAACAAAGACATAACACCCTTACCACTATGTGGTGTGGGGTATAAATAGAAAACATGACAAGAAAAGTATTAATTCCCTGATGAGGGCGATACATATATTGCATATTTTTTGAAAATTAATCTACCCAGAAAGAATGCCAAATGTCAAATAACAGCAGATTTGGTTTGGAAATTGAGGCCGAAACCAAGGAGTAGACGTGAACAGCGCACATAGATGTGGAATAATTTAATGACATCTACTTTAAATAAAAAATGTGGCTGAACCTTGTATTGGGCTATACCAAATACATGACATATATTGATCATTTTTTGCGCGGAAGTCCACCATATCAAAAACCTTCAAAATACATGTATATAAGAAGTTATATGACGGTTGTACCAAAACATGAGCCGATACATTCCATTTTCAATAAAAAAATCGGTCTTGAAGAATATCAATGCCAGTGGAAAACTTCAGTTCTATATTTACCGGTGCGCTTCGCTACCCCTTTTGATTTTATATGCATTCAAAATTTTATTTACGAATATATGTTGGATAAAGAAAAACAAATTTAAAAATTAAAAAAAAATATATTGCACTAATTTAATGCGTTAATAAACAAAATCATTACAAAAGCAGTAACATGACATGCATACACGAAGGGTTTGTCCTTTGGATTTATTTATTTCATAGCAAATACCAAGCGTGCAGGAAACTGCAATTTTTTTAAGTAGAGTGGTTTTTCTATCGCAATTAGTGAATTCGAGATAGCAACATACTTCGCCGTAATAAGCGTATTTCAAATAAATTGTTGTGTTGTTTTTTAGTGTTAGCCTAAGGCGTTGTGGGTCAATGGATCTTATTAAAATCATATCCCAATCTGATCCGATTTAAATATAATTTAAAAAAAAAATACTTTTACACAAAACTCCGCCACACCTTTTATAATTCATTGAAATTGGTGCGTCAAATATGTGAAATCGGCCGAGAATATATATATAGGAGCTATATCCAAATCTTAACTAATTTCCAATTAATTTATCACATTTATTATTATAACCAAATTCCACCACACATTCTGAATTTCATTGGAATCGGTCATATATATCGTGTTTGGTGCATAATATGTATGAAATCGGCCGAAATATATATGTTAGCTATATCCAAACCTCAACTGATTTCAATATAATTTGGCAATTTTTGCTGGTGCTAGATTTTGTCTCTCTCGCTTTGGGTGCATCAAATATGTAAAATCGGCTAAGTATATATATGGGAGCTATTTGAAACTGAGCGTATTTGAATATAATTTGTCAAATTTATTTTTGTACCAAATTTAGCCACTCATGCCGAATTTCGTTGGAATCGGAAATACGTATCGTGTTTTGTGTATCAAATATGTGAAATCGGCGGAAAATATATATGGGAGCTATATCGAAATCTGAACCGATTTTAATATAATTTGACTAATTTATTTTCTAATCAAAATCCCGTTACATATTCCAAATTTCTTTGGAATCGAACATACATATCGTGTATGGTGCATAAAATACATTAAATCGGTCGAAAATATATATGAGAGCTATATCCAAATCTGAACCGATTTTAATATAATTTGACAAATGTATATTTGTTTTAAATTGCGCTACACATTCCAAATTTCATTGAAATTAGGGATACATAGCGTGTTTGGTGCATCAAATACATGAAATCGGTCGAAAATATATATGGGAGCTATATCCAAATCTGAACCGATTTCAATTTAATTTGACAAATTCATTTTGGCTCCCAATTCCGTTACTTATTTTAAATTTCATTACAATTGGAAATACATGTCGTGTTTGGTCCACCAAATACATGAAATCGGCCGAAAATGTATATGGGAGCTATATCCAAATCTGAACCGATTTCAATATAATTTGGGAAATCAATTTTTTAGATAAAATCTATCACACGTTTCAAATTTCATTGAAATTGGGGATACATAGCGTGTTTGGTGCATCAAATGCTTGGAATCGGCCGAAAATATATATGGGAGCTATATCCAAATCAGAACCGATTTCAATATAATTTGACAAATTTATTTTCGGATTAAATCCCGTCACACATTCCAAATTTCATTGGAATCGAACATTCATATTGTGTTTGAGGCATCAAATGAACGAAATCGGTCGAAAATATATATGGGAGCTATATCCAAATCTGAACCGATTACAATATAATTTGGCAAACTTATTTTTGTTCCAAATTCCGTTACGTATTCCAAATTTGGAGAATGTATCTTCAACCAATCAATAGATATGTGCATATAAAATCTAAATTTTTGGGAGGTACCTCCGATTCTGATGCTATATCTCCAGTACCAAGTGGAAATTCAAAAATGTATATAGCCTATGTTACTTTCAGGCGATGTTGCAGTATATATGGAAATTTTCACGAAAATCTATTCAGCGGTTTTCAAGTCCATAAATTACAAACAAACAAACATACAAACATTTTCTTCTTTTATAGATATAGATAGTGCAGCTCTATCGTGATTTCGTCGATTATATATGCCAATAGTCAGGCGGCCTGTAGTTTCTAAATTCATTTACAATTAAATCTATGACAATTCTGGAATGTAGGAATTAATGAGCCTAGTAACATATTCATCGACTATATATCTGCCGATAGTCAGGCGGCCTGAAGTCTCTAAATTCATTTACAATTAAATCTATGACAATTCTGGAATGTAGGAATGCTCTGGAAAGGATTAACCTAACCTAACATGTTTGTCTAGATTACAAAAATCCCAATTAAGGACAAAATTAATCAATTTCTCTAGAAATAGATTACAAATCAATGAGTTTAACAACTGTTTCCAACAAAATTTGAGGAGTTATAGGAGAAAAACAATAGAATCGCATCTTAAGTATTTTTCATATGAAACATGCTCAACAATTAACAGTTCTTGACACTTAGTCATATTCATCAACTTTCTGGAATGGATGATGTCTTTAAAAGCTCTAAATGATGTCATAATTGGTTATAATTAACAAAACAAAACAAAAAACAAAAAAAAAATAATAATGAAACTAAAAAATATAACTGTTAGTAAGACAAAGTCTGTGCTGTTAATGCTTTAAGAAGCACATCAACAGCAAAAAGAGGGAAAACTTTGAACTCTCACCTGCATACGCACTACATTCATGGCATCGGGATTAAGTTGACCGCTGATCTTCAAATACGGTCCCAAAGAGTCGACGTGTGTAATAAAGAGACGTTGTTTGCGTTCATTGTTGCTGCCGTTGCTGCTGCTGCCGTTGGTGCCACCAGACGACACCGCTGATGAAGATGATATTGAGGTCGCTGATGTCGTCGTTGCTGTTGTTGTTGTGGCAGCGGCACAGCCACCATTTGTAAGCGTTGGAGTTGTTGTGTTCGTCGTCGTCGTACCAGCCGATGACGAGGAGGAAGATGATGATGCGCTTGCAGCATTTAAACCCTGGGAGGTGCTCATTTTGTTGGTTTCGTCTTTGTTGTAATTTGTCGTTTATTTTTTATTTTTGGAAATTCTTTTCTTGATGTTTGTTGGAGGACAGAGTTCCCGCCGCTTCGAGGACGTTGTTTTGTTTCAATTAATCTGCAATTGCTGCAGATGATGATGACGTTGCACGAGTATTATGCGTTCCGAATTAAGTCACGTTCTTCACTTGGCATTTCTCGCCATGAAATAGAAGGGAATTTTACGCCACCAGTTTTGTTGGAGGAATTCCGACGATAGAATGAATCTGCCCCAAACAAGCGCAAGAATGTTTGTTGTTGTCGTCGTTTCGTATAACTTTTGTCCGCCGTCGTTGTCGAGATTTCGATTTTCTGCTGATTTGACGCTTTTTTTCTGCTCGGTCGGTCGTCTGTTCTGTTGCGCTATATTCAGGTTATTTATGCCTCGTTCGCTGTTTTACTGCAAGAAAACAAAAGAAACAATAACAAATCACACAATGAGTTCAATTGTTGTTGCAGCAAAAGAAGAAGAAAAAAAAAATAATGAATGTTTATTGAAAAATGTGAAACGTTTTTGTCCGTTTTTGTTTGTAATAACTTTTTGCATGTCTTTTGAGCGTTTATTTAACACCAAAAAAATTAACTAAGGCATCACCAACCACCATTAGAAAACCGTTTAAAGCGCAAGAAAAATAACAGCAAGTCTCGGGGTTTGTTGTGTTGTTTCGCCTTCGTTTATCTTTCTCTAATAAGCTTTCGACTTATTGCCGGCCGGGCACAAGAATCTAAAATAATTACACGGTTCAAATCTTCCACGGATGCTTTTGCTTTCCTTTTTTTCTTCTTGTTCTTTTTTCAAAGTCATGTCAAAATGTACCGTTTTAAAATAGAACAAACGGCATTACCAACATTTAGGTCGAGATGAGATTGCCTAGCCTACTTTGATCAAAGGATGGTTGACTGAGAACAGTTGAGAGGAGAGCACATCAGGGTTGCCAAATTATAATTTTATGTGAGATTTATAAAAAATGACATTTTAAATTTAGCGAATCGTTCGTTAAATTGACATACTTTTTTGTAGAATATGTCTTCAAGAAACGAATATTTAGAACATTATCCTACCTAATTGATTTTATTTTGATATGTTTGGTTCCCAGAAGTAAAAAACCATAACATTAAACAGTATTTGTGAACAAAAGAAGTAAAATAGTATCAGTTGGTTTGCCGACTGCTATTATTTTTATTATTATTCGAACTGTTGACCCTCGGAAGCAGTTGGCCAATATCGACGTATCGTATCTGACCTAAGACGGATATAAATATTACAAAGTGCCAAATTTGGACTATATTGACTACTTCCTATACTTTAAATAAGATATGTGTAAATTTTTGGAAAATGTGGACACATGCGTATGGTAACAGATATAGCGGACCTATACTTTAAATAAGATATGTGTAAATTTTTGGAAAATGTGGACACATGCGTATGGTAACAGATATAGCGGACCGAAGTATTCCATTTTCATACTTCATCTAATACAGTTACAAATATTGGTATGTGAAAAATGTGAAGGAAACCGAACATTTATATCCAATTTTATGCGAAATCATAAATTTCATATTAATGGCAAGTTGTAAAGAATTGGAAATTGTTACCCTTGATGGGTGAGGTACCAGAAGGGGTTCGCAGTTATATATCACCTTTACAAACAGATCTTGTGTTAGCAAAAATGTTTGAAATTTGAAGAGTGTTGGATGGTTATTTCGCTTTTTTGAGCGTTTTTTTTTTTTTTCAAAATCTTGAACCCTATGTGGGGGTGGTACCAGAAGAAATGTTTCGATTTCTACCATATTTATATCAGATCTTGTGTTCATAGAAATATTGAGATGTACCAAGTCTGACCGAGATCGGATGTTAATTTCAAGTTTTATAAACTTCATGGGTACCCAAAATTTTATGGGGGAGGCACCAGAAGGACTGGACCGATATATCACATCTTAACACCAGACCATGGGTTGATAAAAATATTGTGATGTGATTAATTTGAAGAGAACCGGATGCTTATTTCGGATTTTATGATCGTTTCGGTTATTTAAAACTTTGACCCTTTTTGTAGGAGGTATCAGAAGTATTAGTCCGACATCTACCATTTTATAACCAGTCTTGTGTTGACGGAAGCATTGAGATACACCAAGTCTGAATGTAATCGGATGTTAATTTCGTGTTTTATGAGCTTCATAAATATTCAAAATGTTGGCTCTTTGTTGGGGGAGCTACCAGAAGGAGTTAACCGATATATCCCATTTTCACACCAGACCTTGGGTTATTAACAAGGGAACCGGATGCTTATTTTGGATTTATGATGGTTTTTTTATTCAAAAGGTACCAGACGCTCATTTCGGATTTTATGATCGTTTCGGTTATTCAAAACTTTTACCTTTTGTGTAGGAGATACCTGAAGTTATAGTCCGACCTCTAGCATTTTATAACCAGTCTTGTGTTGACGGAAGCATTGAGATGCGCCAAGTCTGAATGTAATCGGATGTTAGTTTCGTGTTTTATGAGCTTCATGAATATTCAAAATTTTGACCCTTTGTGGTGGAGGTACCAGAAGGAGTGTATCGATATATTCCATCCTTACACCAGCTCTTGGGTTAATAAAAATATTGATATGTGTGTAATTTGAAGACAATCGGACACTTACATCGCAATTTATAAGAGTTACAACTATTCAAAATGTTGACCCTTTGTGGGAGAGAAGTACTGGATGGAGTGGACCGATATTTTCCATTTTCGCACATGACCTGGCACTAATGCAAATATTAGGATGTACAAAGTTGGAGCAAAATCGGATTATACTTCCATCATTTCCTTTGATAATGTTGGCATTTTGTGGGGGAGGTACCAGAGGAAGTGGACTAAACTAAACTATTTTTTTAAAATTCGGTTTCACGGTTTTGGAAAGTGTCACCAATCAACGAAAAAATTCACATATAAAAAAAATCATACACATATTCACCTTTTCAATGACGTCAAATGACATCGACTATGACGTTTGTGTGAACTAGCCAACAGAAAATTTAACCTCAAAATCATATCTAATTTCCATGCCCAGAGTTACTTTTTCTCCATGTTATCCATGTGAATTGTGTTAAGTACCTATATGCGAATTTTATATTATCAACCTCCGTCGTGAGCTTATCTCTTTTGATAATGGAAATTTGGTTTGCAAATAATTTAGGTAAACACATGCCAAATACATGTTTAAAAAATGTGTATGAACGAAACATGCACACACACCTAGGCAAACATATGGGAAAGACGAAAAAGTTATCAGCCTCAAGCTGTCTTATTTCCGGCATTTGCATGCGAATATCAAGGTTGCTGAACTAATCAAGAATTCTTTCAAATCGATAAAGAAAAATGAAACTTTTTACTTCACCGGCAGGTGACAACAGCCACATTTGTTAAATAAGAAACGTGCTGATGTGCAAAAAATTGATCAAGAAAATGTTGTAAAAAAATATTTTAGATAAAATTTTTTAAGATAATTTATTTTAATTTTATTATATAAGTTAGGGGCTTCTTTTTATTTCACTGTAAGATAAATAAATGAAAATGAAATGTTTTGAAAACCTTCCCTGGGATTGTCTATAAAGAAGTCTCGTAAAAGACATCGGGATTCGAGTTCGCGCACTACGGCTTTAGAGGTTTAAATATAGAAACAGATGGAAGTAATATACGGGGAGCTGTGTCTTAATTTGAATCCATTTCCACAAAGGTATTTTAATATTGTATGTATGTGACCTTTAGAGTCCATAATATGAAAGACAAAAATGTTGACTCTCAAGCGAAATGATTAGAAAATATATAACTAAAAAGTATCAGTTGTATGCCAATTGCATACCCTTAGCCAATGTCCAATTTTTATACCCTCAGCCATATGGCTAGAAAGGGGATATATAATTCGATACTTCCAAAGCGCGCCTCATCGAAATAATGGACCTTAGGTCTCTTTGGACTAAATCAGTTTCAGGATATTTGGAGTCGATCTAGCGATGTCCGTCCGTCCGTCTAAGTATCCAATTTATTCTAAACTTGGTACATCGTAATATTATTGTCAAACTTAGATCGAGTTCAGAGACGGACAATATCGCTCCACTCCTTCTGGTTCCTCCCCCCACAAAATGTCAAGATTTTGAAGAAAATAATTTACTGCACAAAAAGAATTCCAATATTTGTACCAGTGCTATGTCAGGTGCGAAAATGGACAATATCGATCTACTCCATCGAGTACCTGCCCCACAAATGGTCGAAATTTTAAATAATAATATCTCTTATAAAATGTCCGATTGTCTTCAAATTTCACACATCACAATATTTGTATTAACCCAAGGTCTGGTGTAAAGGCGGAATATATCGGTCCACTCCTTCTGGTACCTCCCCCACAAAGGCTCAACATTTTGAATATTCATGAATCTCATAAAACGCGATCCGATTCCATACAGACTTATACATTTTAATATTTCTAGCAACACAAGATCTGTTATAAAGATGGTTGAGATCGCACCATTTCTTCCGGAAAAACAAAACGCTCAAAGAAAGCGAAATAAGCATCCAAATTCATCCATCTCCTCAATTTTCCCACATGAAAAAATATTTGCTAACACAAGATCTGTTGTGAAGATGATATACATCTACGAACCCCTTCTGGCACCTAACCCACAAAGTGTCACAATTTCCAATATTTATATCTGTCATAACTTGCGTTGACGATTCTTCACAGCTTGCTATATCTCAAGCAGAAACCTGATATGAATTAGTAATTTAGCGGAATTTATGATTTCGGATAAAATTGGATGTAAATGTTCGATTTCATTCAAATTTTGAACATATAAATATTTGTATTGGATAGAGTATGAAAATTGAATACCTCGGCCCGCTATATATTTTACCTCACATACATATCTCATATAAAGTAAAGGAAGTAGTCGATATAGTCCATATATGGTACGTTGTAATATTTATATCAGACTTAAGTCAGATACGAATTGGTCAACATTGGCTAACTGCTTCGGAACCTCCCCCATAAACGGCCAACAGTTCGAATAATCACAACTCAAGGCTGGGGGTTTACATCTGTCGGGAAAACCTACTGATACTATTTTACTTGTAGAAAATTTTGAAAGACTTCTAGTTCTCGCATTAAAATATCAAATTCACCTATGTATCAATGTATCTTCCTATAAGAAAACAAAACAAATTCAAATTCCAACAAAAGAATTCATGTTTTTTCCATTTCTCAAACACGTCTTCCATCTCCCATTCGTTTATCTATAATTTCAATTTCGTAATTTCTTTTATAAATTTACCAATAAGAAACTAAACACACACACGCACATTTATACTCTGAATGACATCAACACCAAAAACAACTTCGTCTACTGGCAGCGTTGGTATTCATCATTATTATCATCGCAGTTGTTGTTGTTGTCTTCATGTAATCTCTAAAACATGTTTACAAACATTCAAGAGCACTCACAAAAACAAAAACAGCTGATCTAAAAACACAACATAAAAATATGAATTTCAACAAAAACAGATCTTGACAGGGAGAGTAAAGTAAAGAGTAATTGAGAAGAAACACACCCGTTCCGACGACCTACTCAGTGCAAACATCATTATACAACAACATCACAGCGTGTGTGCATGTGTGTGAGTCAAGTTTTTATGCATGGACTTCAATGCTCCACGCATAAATTCATGCATGCATGCGTATGTTTGTTTGTTTATTTACCAAAAACAACATGCCCATACACACATGCACAAATACACGTGCTGTCTGTTGTAAACAAGACACAAGGGAAGAATGAGTGTTTCCCTGTTTCGTTAATTATAGGGCGAAAAAGGGCAAACCTTGTAGATATTTGTTTGGCAATGAAATTTCATGAGTTCTGTTAAAGTGGGGGCCAAAGACAACACCAAAAAATAGGATTTGAGGGACAAGAAGTAATAAACAACTGTCAAGTGTAATTTATGGATGGATCGGGGAAAATGACAGGGTGTGCTATTAATATTTAATCTTTTACTAAAAGAGCATGTTTAATATAAGAAAAGTTCTTCAAGATGTTACACAAATGGAGAACTTAAAAGAATTACTTCAATGTGTATGGCTTTTAAAGTGATTTGGCTATTATAAATACAAAAAAATACAAGGAGTTCCAACAACAATGAACGTAGGACCCTGGCTCTTTTCTGCTTGTCCAAACGTCATCTACCACAAAACAGTCTCAGTACAATGTAAATAATACAAAAACTGGGAACATTGTAGGAAATGTTTGGTTTAATCCGATTTTGAACCGATATATATTTGCCATACATTAGCGTGCTTTCAAATGGCAGTTATCTAATAATTTTGGTAATTATTACCAAAACGGATATGCGTAAGTCGTCTGTTCCTGGAGTGAGGATTTTCTACCTGATTAAGACGAGAGTGCCACAGTCCAATTAGACTGAAAGCAGATTCCTGAAACTGGCATTAGAGGTAAAAACGTTGGCTGATGATTGAAAATGGAAAAACAACAAAAAAAAGAGCAGCAGTGCAGATATTTTTACAACTATAATCGTCTGGATTCAAAGACCCACATCTTTGGATTCAGGACAGATAATAGTATAACTTGATATATATTTTGGGGACCCCTACAATGGGCCCTTTTTCGAATTGGAACAACTCTATTCTAGTAAAAACTCTTCGATTTTTTTTTTTCAAAATTTTTTACAGATAGGTATTTTTACCCTGATTCCGGGAAACGGGGGACGGACCCGGAACACCAGATTTATGACCCGAAATACCAGTATCAAAAACCCGTGCTAGACCCGGATCAACTCCACATGGTTTGAAAGAAAAAAAAAAAACCTTTAAAACCCTATCCAACAAGTGGCGGAGTTTTAGTAAACTTTAGTTCGCGTAGGGTAGGTTTTTTAAACGGTTTTCGGTACATACCACAGGAAAATTAAAAATAGAATGAAGAGTTTTTACTATACCAGAGTTAAGTCCATAAATTTTCAAATATTTTACAAATCGAAATCAGGCTACAAATACCTATCCCTTGCAAAAGATACCGGAACAACTCTAATTTAGTAAAAACTTTTCGATTTTTTCCGTAGGTATTTATTTTTCTCTGACTTCTGCCAAATTATGGCTGACACTCTTACCTTTCCAAAATGCTACAATTTGTGCTAATACCTTTTTCGGGTCCAGAGATATGGGTTTCTTCATCCGCATAACCCGATTCTAACCAGTTCATTAAAATTATTAAAAAAAGGGTTTATTTCGCGTAGCAGTCGTTAGAATTACACTTGTTGGATAGGTATTTTCATAAGCTTTCAAACGGGTAATTGGATCCCGTTCTAGTCGGGGTCTTGAACCCGGACTTTTGGGTCGAAAATCTGGGGTTACTGGTCTGTCCCCCAAGAAAAAATAGTCTCCACTGAATATGTTCAACACCGGCTAACGCAAACCAAAAATTTCTAAATTTGATGCTTTTGTAGTCCAACGACGGCTACGCGAAACCCTTTTTTTTATTGAAAAAATAATGTTTCCCCCAAATCAGGGTAAAAATACCTACCTCTGGAAAAATTTCGAAAAAATCGAAGATGTTTTACTAAACTAGAGTAGTTCCGTTTCTCGGGATCAGGGTAAAAATACCCACCACTTGATAAAATTTAGAAAAAATTGAAGATTTTTAACTAAACTAGAGTTAAGCCAAGATACCCGAGATTGTTTTACTAAACTACAGTTTTTCTCCCAAACCCCCCAAAACCTTTTTTTTTTCGCAAATTTTACACGTGCGAACAGATTCTTACAAATGGAATCCTTTTCAATTTAATACTTTCCTACTGTCCCAGAAATAAAAAGTCAATTGGCAACTCTACGAACTCAATAACTTACCTAAGTTTTAAGCGAAGACAAGAATATGATGAAATAATAGACGCAGAATAGAAGACGCAAATTTATCAAATCAAAATTATAAGGCTTTACGACAAATACAATGTGATGACGGATGTTTTCATTCGTTGTTGGTGTTGTTTCTGTTACAATATTTTTTATTGTAGTTTTATTCGTAAGTTTAGTTTTGTGGTCGTCGTCGTCTTTGTCGTCGTGGTCGTTATTATGTTTGAGACACCTCTGCGCTAAACTGCAAACGCCTCCACAGATTTACAACACAACACACCGCAAAGAGGAGATGGTCTTTGCAGTGTGTGTTGACGTTTTGGGCTGCAGCAATTTCCGTGGGGTTTGGGAGATGTTATTCCAGTTGGATTTTTTTATTCTTTGCTTGTTTTCCGACACTTGCACTTGTACACTTTTAATCTTTTCACCAAAAAAAATATAGACAAATTTTCCTTTTATTATATTTTGATTCAGATGTCAGTGTGGATTTATTGCGTTCTCTCAATTACGCGCTCTCTCTCTCACTTGAATATCTTGAGTATATCTTTTGCTATCTTTCTCACTTGATTAATTTATTATTTGTGATTTTCCTTTACTTTCGATAATTTAATGAATAATATTGCCAGGAATTTGTTTTTCCGTTTTTCTTTATTTGGATTCTTATAGCACTTTGCACACACTTTTTCTTCTTCTTGTTGTTGTTGTTTTTCTGTTTCACTTCACAAATTGTTTGTGGTCAGTTTATTTTTTGTTGTTATTTTTAAGTGTGTGTCGGTGTGTTTTGATGAATTTTTTGGAACGGTCAAGCACAGCTGTCTTTGAGTGTGTTTGTGTGTCTTTCCTCTTCTTTTTTGCACTTTGCGTTATGACTTTTTTTTGTTAAATAAACTTATGTATTTTTTTTTCTTGTTTCGTTAGCTTCTTCTTATTCTTGTTTCCTTTGCTTTAGCTGTGCTAATTATTCATCATTTACTCACGGTTTTCTCTCAAGTGAATATAGATGTGTGTGTGTATGAATATTTAAACAAAAAATGTCGTCGTGGATTAAATATGCATAAATTTTCCTTAAATATTATAAAACTTTTTTTTAATTTTGTCGTTTCTCACTAAAGTAGTTAATTCAATTAATTCAGTCTTTTAGGTTACAGTTATTAAGCAAATAAATAAATGTCAATCACCGTTCATTGCTATCTTTCTCTGGCTGTGGGCTGCTTACCACGTCTTGATGAGAGTCTGTCGGCTAATTGGAATTTGCTTTAATTTTGTTGTTTAATGCCGTTCGGGGGAAGCAAAAGTGAAATGTTTTTTTTTTTAATTATTTTACAGAGACCAACCCGTACAACAATTAGAGCGCACTACATATACACTGACGAATGTGTGTGTTTCGGTATGCATGCACATACATATAGATGATCGGATCTGTGTAGACTACTTGGCAGTTTTCTTTTTCTATATCGTGAGGCGTAGATAAATCGCTCGCTCCCACTTTCACGTGGAGTTCAAGAAGAAAAAGATTGTTCCTTTTTTTTTTTGGCGTCTTTCTTTTGTTTCACTTTTTCAAGTGTGTGTGGTATATTTTCTTTTGGATCTCCGTTAGTTGGCTCTTTGATTGCTGTCTTTACCCACTTTTTGTTTCTCTTTTTCGTATATATAAATGTTCCAAATCACGTTACACGTTCATTTGAGAGATTAAATCAAAATGCAATGTCTTATTAGTTTTGTTTTTTTGGTTAGAAATTGTTCGAACTAAAAAAATAAATGAATAAAAAACTCCAAAAACGTTCCGTTTTATTTTATAAGGCGCAAACTGTTTTTAACACACGTCTCCCCTTTCTCAAGAAAATTTGACGACTGAGTTGAGAAGGGATATATAAGTCGACTTTCGAAAAATCGCTCAATCGACATTTGATGTTGACGGTAAGAATCGCAAAGTCGACTGACTGTATCGATTTTCGATGTTGAGAGGGTAGAATAAGTTTGAGAAAAAGTTGAAAAATACGAATTATAATAACCTACTAATGACGCCGTATAAGAAAAAATAAAAAAATCAACTTATATTTGAAAAAAAAATTAAATATTTTTGACAAATCAATGTTCCCAAGCTTTGATGCATCTACCTGTATTCTTCTGCCATGGTAACCTTATGGAGCCGAAAATTACAAAACTTGTAGCTTCTTGCAGGTTCCGGAACAGAACAATAATTCAACACATTAACAATATTTTGTGTTAAAAATAGAAATGAATAATGTAAAGAAACAAAAAAACTCTGTACCAGAACTTCACAACAAAATTGCAAAATTTGTAGATCCTTGCAGGTTCTGGAACAAAGAAAATGTTTGTAATTGTAATATATATCAAATGGGTGAATTTTGAATATTATCTATTATTACAACGTTATTTGTTAATAGATTTTAGATAAGGACCTGGTGTATTTGGGTAATACGGACGTGCAGAAAATTTTATTATAGTGGGGAAGTTGAATATTTGTGTCCACTAAAGGTGAGGTTACATAAGCAGCTTGACATCATGGCTAGGCATATTGATGTCAAATTATAAGGGGAAACGACGGCAGAATTCCAGCGAGGGTAATTCGAGTGATCTAATGACATACGGAAGCAGGCCCTAGTTGTCCTCATCAATTTCTTCGATGGATGTTATCTCTACCACGTGGCATGAACAAAAAAATCTTTTCTTCTGATCTCTCTCTCTCTAAGAACATGTATGACGCTCTGCTTCATTTCCATTGACTATAAAAAGTATTTCTAAAAACCCGCTAGTATCGTATCAGCTAGTCGATAAATCGATTATGTTAAAGTCGACGTAAATAGCCCTATTCCACTAATAACCAGCTGAGGTGAAAATACACTTCTGAAACCCTACCGTCCAACAGCGAGTTTCCGATCTGTACAACTCTTATTTCAAATCGGGGTGTTTTTGTTTTGCTTTCGATTTTTATCACACATTCGACTTTGTTCGTCTTTTCTTTTTATCGCGGCGTCATTATTCGATAGCAGCTTTGTGGTCTGGCTCATTTCTCATCATTTTCATTTCTGTGAGTGTGTGGCGGCGTCGGTAGGTACGTAATTCTCGAATTTTCTTGGATATTTTTAATATTTTTACATATTTCCAGTTGGTTACTCATATTATCGGAACACATTATTGCCAAAATCACTTTCGTCCTACAGTAGAAGGCCACGATGACTGCGCCACGTCGTTTACGCAAGGAGCTAACAGATTTACAACAATGCCAATTGAAATCGTTTCGTGAAATCGCCACCGATGATGACAATCTATTGCGATGGACCGGCTTGATTGTGCCCGAAAATCCACCCTACAACAAGGGAGCTTTTCGCATTGAGATCAACTTTCCGGCCGAATATCCATTTAAGCCACCAAAGATTAATTTCAAAACAAAAATCTATCATCCTAATATCGATGAGAAGGGGCAAGTGTGTTTGCCCATCATAAGCACGGAAAATTGGAAACCTGCCACACGAACAGATCAAGTCATACAGGCGCTGATAGCTCTCATAAACGATCCGGAACCAGAGCATCCATTGCGTTCCGATTTGGCGGAAGAGTTTCTGAGGGATCGAAAGAAATTCATGAAGAATGCTGAAGATTTCACCCGCAAGAACAGCGAAAAAAGGCCAGCTGATTAGTAAGCGAACGATGACTGACAGCTAGTAAGAAAAAAATCTGCAGTGAGAAAAAAATGAAAACAAAACGAAAAAAAAGACTTCAGAACTATTGCACCTAAGAAAGAAAGAAATGTAACAAAATCAACAACAATAAGAATAACATTGTGAGCAAGATTTGTCGTCCCCGCTTCGAATATAAGTATGTTCTTTTTGCATTACCTCTCTTAAACCTTTTGCTGCCTTTATGCGTTTTTTTATTTTTCCAAAAATCAATAATAATTGTAACAAAGAGAACAACAAACACACTATTGTGAATTTACAACAACATGAGAAATAGTAGAAGTCGCAGTAAAATGCAACACAACCAACCGAACTAAAAACTAAAATCATCTGTCGGACACCCACCACCACCAGCCCCTGCTCATTGTACTCTATTGTCAGAGAAAAAAAAAAGAACGCTTTCCTTGCAATGCCACTCATCCACCATTCATTTACCTATCCCATTGTGTTTTTGTTGCTTTTGCTCTTACCAACGGCAATTATTCAGTCATTGAGGAACCCCCCCAACAACACTCACTCACACACACCACAACCTTACCATTATTGTATCATTATTATTTTAAAATTGTACTATATTGTTTTACAAAATTCTATTTTCAAACATTTAACAAAAACAAAATAAATTGTATTAAAAAGAATACAGAATTTAAAAAATAGAAATGAACAAAGTAATGGAACAAAGAAGAAACAAAACAAAAATATATGAAAAACTGAACATTTTAATAAAAAAAACACGGAATTTTTTAATTGAGAGAGATGCAATAAATATGTTTAGGTTAAAGAACGTGGTTTGTGTCTCGACTAATGAGCTGTTTTCAATTTATGTGATCCCCAGAAATAAGTGACTAACATATGTTTCGGAAGGCATAACATAAGATTTCATTGGCTTGGAAAGGAGAGGAGAAAAAAATTAAAAGTTACTCGTTTCTCTTCCCACCAATATTGGAAAACATTTTTATTTTTTGAAATTCAAAATCCTATACCTATAAAATATGTTGCATATTTTTAGGCTTTATGTCTTTTCTGGTTTTTCTTAATGGCAAAATTATTACACTTCTATAGGCTACTCATAATAGCCTATTGACCAATAGTCATCCCATGAGAATGCTTCATTGGTCTTCCATGAGCATGAGTCTTCTACGAATAGAACTTCAATTAGAATTCGATTCTTATTGGAAGAGCTTTTCGTCTTAATTTGGAAGACATTTTGGGTTTCTTCTGTAGAAAAATCGTTTTTTTATGAAAAGACTTTGTGGTCTTCTATGCAAAGATCTTCTGTCCATCTATAGAAAGACCGTTTAATATTCTATCGGCAGATCTTCCCTCAATCTATGAGAATACCTTCTGGTCTATTAGTTTTCTAGGAGAAGTCCTTTCGGTCTGCAAGAGAATTCTTTGGGATCGTCAATGACAAGACCTTTTGGTCTTCAGTGAGAAGACCTTCTGGTCTTCAATGAGAAGACCTTCTGGTCTTCAATGAGAAGACCTTCTGGTCTTCAATGAGAAGACCTTCTGGTCTTCAATGAGAAGACCTTCTGGTCTTCTATGAGAAGACCTTCTGGTCTTCTATGAGAAGACCTTCTGGTCTTCTATGAGAAGACCTTCTGGTCTTCTATGAGAAGACCTTCTGGTCTTCTATGAGAAGACCTTCTGGTCTTCTATGAGAAGACCTTCTGGTCTTCTATGAGAAGACCTTCTGGTCTTAAATGAGAAGACCTTCTGGTCTTAAATGAGAAGACCTTCTGGTCTTCTATGAGAAGACCTTCTGGTCTTCAATGAGAAGACCTTCTGGTCTTCAATGAGAAGACCTTCTGGTCTTCAATGAGAAGACCTTCTGGTCTTCAATGAGAAGACCTTCTGGTCTTCAATGAGAAGACCTTCTGGTCTTCAATGAGAAGACCTTCTGGTCTTCAATGAGAAGACCTTCTGGTCTTCAATGAGAAGACCTTCTGGTCTTCAATGAGAAGACCTTCTGGTCTTCAATGAGAAGACCTTCTGGTCTTCAATGAGAAGACCTTCTGGTCTTCAATGAGAAGACCTTCTGGTCTTCAATGAGAAGACCTTCTGGTCTTCAATGAGAAGACCTTCTGGTCTTCAATGAGAAGACCTTCTGGTCTTCAATGAGAAGACCTTCTGGTCTTCAATGAGAAGACCATCTGGTCTTCTATGAGAAGACCATCTGGTATTCTATAAGAAGAACTTCTGGTCTTCTATGAGAAGACCTCCTGGTCTTCTCTGAGAAGACCTATGGTATTCTATGAGAAGACCTTCTGGTATTCTATGAGAAGACCTTCTGGTATTCTATGAGAGGACCTCCTGGTCTTCTTTGAGAAGACTACACTCCCCTATGAAAAGGTTTTTCGAGTCTTCCATGAGAAGAGCTTCTTCTCTTCTATGAGGAGACTTGCGAGTCTTTCATGAGAATGATTTCTGGTCTTCTCTGAAAAAATCCTCTGTCTCTATGTATATACCGTCTGGATTGAAGTTCCCGAGACACATAGTCCACTCTTCTTCATTTTATTACTTTCTTTTTTAGAAATTTAAAAGTAAAACATTGCAATTTTGTTATAAAATCTAACCTAAAAAGTTTTTTTTATTTAAATTTTAATAATTATTAATTTTACTTCGCCAATCATTATGTATATAAAAATAAATAATATACATAAGATTAAGGCAGATATATTTTGTTTTAATATACAATAACTAAATATTTACAATAATAATACACTGAAATACCTCTTCTCGTTATATATTTCAATATTTACACGAATTTGTGGGAAGGAAATGATTCTACTCCCATTGTTTTTGTTTAAGTACGTATATAACTTATTTAAAGAATTTAAAATACAAAATATCGTTGCTTGTTTTTTTTTAATAATGACTAAGAACTTCACTGAACACACCATACTGGCGCTAACCTGCCCGGCAGGCTAACACTGTGTATGCCTAGCACCCGCCCAACCCACTTCTACATCATACAACCGATGACGCCTGGTGTGTGATGTCTGTGGCTGTTGAAACCATTGCCGCTGGCATGGGTGGGGGTGCTGTGGAAGTTCTGGCTGCAGATGCACTGGAGCTGGTATTATTTCCTGAACTTGAAGTGGCTGCTGCCGCCGCAATTGGATCAACTTCACTGTATGGTGGTACGGCTAGTATTGTCTCGGTTGTGTTGACACTGGCATTTGAGGCTGTTAGGCCGGTAACACCGGCCGCACTGGTTGTCGTTGGGGTCGTGACGCTAGTCATGCGCATAACTTCTTCGTAGGAGGGCAAGTCTTTGTCATCCTTTTCCAATTGTGCCCGTATGCGTGCTGCCTCGGCACTGTTGGGTTCAATGAAGAAAATGTCATTGTAACGACTCTCTCGACTGTTCTCATCTTGTACGGTAAATACATTGGCCTGACGATCTGAAATGGAAGGATTAACAGAAAATTGGGGAATTAGAGAGGGAGTTTCGAAAGTTGTAATGAGGATTTTATTTAAAATGTTTACAGGTAAGTTACAATCCAATCACAATAAACTTAACATATGTTTACCATAGCCAAGTTGATTGTGATTGGTCAATTATTAGGGATTTGTATGTAAACGTAGTCTAAGAGCATTTTTAGGATATATCATAATAAAGTAATACAGGTAGGTGCATCGACACAGTTGCTGGGACAATGAACTGTCAAATCAATTTTGAAATTGAAATTGTTGAATTAAAAATTATTATAATTTTTAAAAATTGTTAAAAACGCATATTATAATAACCTCCGATTGGCGTCGTCTAAGAAATCACATAAAAATCTACTTATATTTGAAAAAAAAAAACATTCTTAAATTTTTGACATATCAATTTTCTCTAGTGTTGATGCAACTACTTGTATTCTTCTACCATGGGATATATTAAGATAAAATAATATAGGAAGGCGTACGACACAGCTGTAGTGACAATGAACTGTTAAACCAATTTTGGAAAGCTTTTTCAATTCGTTTAAATAGTTCAAAAATAAATATCATAGCAACATCCGAATAGCATCCTTTAAGAACACTTATAATTTTTCTACCATGTGATATATTAGCCCAATCTTAGTTGTTGGTGTCTTAACAACAATCTAAATAACGAATTTTATAAAAACAGGCAGGTGTAGATGGGGTTTTCTCAGTAAAATGTAAAGTAATCAAATGCTATCGACTCTGAGTATCAATGGACGTAGAAATTGACACTTGAAATCCACTCGATTTGTTATGTGTAAACAGGCTTAAATTTCATCAGGTGATTTACCTATTCTGTGGCGGTAGCATGGTAGAAGAATACAGGTAGATGTATCAATACTTGGGAACATTGATATGTCATTGATATTTCAAAAATAAGTAGATTTTTATACGTTCTCTTATGCGATACCAATCGGAGCTTGTTATGATATGCACTTTTAAACAATTTTTACAAATTGGAATAATTTTTCATTTAACATTTTCAATTTCAAGATGGGCTTGAGAGTTCATTGTCCCAGCATCTGCGTCGATGCGACTACCTGTATTCTTCTACCATGGGCGGTAGTCAGTTATTTCGAACCTTAGGTGTGTCTGGTTACCCTAACATTTGTAGCATGGTTGAAGAATATAGTTATGTGGGAACATTGATATGTCAAAAATTTTAAAGTGTTTTGTCAAAAATAAGTAGATGTTTATATGTTTTCTTATACGATACTAATCGGAGCTTGTTATGAAATGTATTTTTCAACAATTTTTACAAATTTCAATAATTTCTCATTCAAGATTTTCAATTCCAAAATCTGTTTGACAATTCATTGTCCCAGTGGCTGTGTCGATGCGATTACCTGAATTTTTCTACCATGATTTGTAGCTATTGTTGTAATTGTATTGTTGTTATCTGAAGTCTGTCTGTTAATACAAAAGTTCTGCCAAATAGAGCGATTTAAGAGAAAAATTTTTATACTTCTTTCACTGAGAGTTTGCAAATTCTTGCTGGACAAATTTCCCTTTGTAATCACTTGTAACACTTCTTCTCCTTCCGGTGATTTATATTTGGACAAAAACATCTATATTTTTCTGACGCACAAATTATTTTGTTATGACAAATCAGCTGATTGTTTGCATGGTTTACATCTGTTTAGTTTTCACAGTTAATTTGCAAAAGAGAATAAAACTACCTTACTCTCTCAGACATATGTTGCTAGACAATAAACATTCTCTATTAACGAATTCTAGATTAGGCGCTTTTTCTTTGTCGAATTTTACCGAATTTCGTTCGATATCTATATAAATTCCCTCAGTACAAGTTTCTGAGTAAAGGTGGGAGTACATAAAAGGCTTTTTTTTAACTGGCTTAAGTCATCGGCTAGCTTCTGCGAAAAAGAACAAAGGAGCGTAGGGCCAAAATCGAACTAAGTCAACCTAAAACACCTTTGTTCCCGTACGTAGAAGCCAGCCCATGGCCCAATTATTATGTCTTCCTTCGAGCGAATTAATTTAAAAACAGCTGTTTTTTATCAGATAAAATGTCAAAATTCAAGCTTGAGCCGAAAATAAATATTTTCGCCTTGACAGAAGAATTTTGTGGCGAATATGTTTTTTTTTGTCAATTTTTGGTATGTATAACAGCTCTGCTGCATGGTAGAAGAATACAGGTAGATGCAACAACGCTTGGGAACATTGAGATGTAAAATAAGATCATTTTTATAGGTGTTCTTACTCGACACCAATTGGAGGTTGTTATGAAAGGCATTTTTCAACAATTTTAACAATTTTGAACAATGTTTCATTTAAAATTTTTAATTTAAAAATTGGTTTGACAGTTCATTTTCCCAGCAGCTTTACGATGCGACTACCCATATACTTCTACCATGGTTTTGAAGTTTGTTTTGGTTGCAGCGAATTCAAATTTAATTGACAGATCGTTTGGTAATCAGCTGAGCTGGCCGATGACTTAAGCCAGTCAAAAAAGCGTTTTATGTATTCTCATCTAAACCTTTCCTGGGAATGGTTGTTGAAGTCACTGCACGAATGACTTTGAAGAGTTGAAAATAACTTATTAAAAAAAAACATTTTAACATTTTTGACATATCAATCTTCCCAAGTGTTGATGCATATACCTGAATTCTTCTACCAAGACTTCAACCAAGTAAGGAACTGGATGTGTTTCATATTTTATATATAAAGATTAAGCACTGTATAGGGAAAGCACTAAATTCTGCGTTTTTAGAATTGCCTTATTCTTTTGTTCTTCACATTTTTTTATTTAGATTTTTATACATTTTTTATTTGCATATTTACTTCTTGCTTCATAGGCTTGAGTTTCCAATTTGGCACTGCGAAATATTGCCAAATAGACAAAGTAGCAGAAACATGGCAGAACTACAACAATTAATAAAACACAAATCGCAATAATGCCAACAGAAGTCATATTTTCCGACGACAAATGGCTAACAATTCGGACTGAAGTCAATAAACCAATCGTAGCAGATATCTAGTGACAAAGAATCGATTTTATAATTATTTTGAAATTGAGAGCAAATTGTTATTCTTCCGATAAGATTAATAATTTATAGCCCCGAAGAGAAAGAGCTGAGGTATTTTGTTATTGTTTTTCTCTTTCATTGTTGGCATGTGATACTTGACAAAATAATGACTTCGAACTGCCAATAAGTTCGAAGAAGTCATCAAGTGAATGCCCAGGGAGGCAAAGGAACATTATATTGCCTTGTTGTTTTTTTTTACCGATAATTTAGGTAAACAAAACCTCTTATTGTACTAAAAAAACGCTTTACGTTAGAATGTTCGTGGTTTTTAGTATCTTTATTGACACAGGGCACAATTTATAGAGCGGAATTTCACAATGAATAAAGTAGCAGAAGATGAACTGTATGCCAAGCCTCCCAATATGAAGGCCATGTTTGAATTTAAGTTTTCAACGGTAAACCAATGGATCATGACGAAATAATAAGGCGTTACACCCATCAGACGAAATGTCAAAATTTGTTTGCTGTTTTGTTTACCGTTTGTTTATCTTTCGTAAAGAATCGTAATAAGTGTTTTGACAACTAATCTAGACGATCAGCTGTGGAGATTTCAGCACCTATTGATTGCGCCATGAAATCGATCATAGAAATAGATCAATTATAACGGCTCCCTACAGAAAAGAGTTTTTGTTTTCAAGACTAAAAAAAGGGTAATGGTGAAATATCAGACGAAAACTAATAATTTGTTAACAATTTGTTTATTTCTTGTGCTGTGATCTCAATCACAACAAGTATTTTTGAGATCTAAAAGGATATTTGTTTATTCCTATTATGTTGGAACATGGCATTATTTTCCTTTAAAGTACGTTTACATACAACATCTCTACCCTGGTAATTGACCAATCACAATAAATTGAAGGAATGTTTTCTATAGTCGGATTTATTGTGATTGGTCAATTCACAGGAATAAAGCGGGTAGCAATTTTTAGAAAAGTGAATGAGTTAAGTTGAGTATACATAAGAGGACATTTTCGATTAACTTCCATTTTAGATCCATAGTCCATGGCAGAAACAAATTCTTTTATATTCTCATCTTATTTTTCAATATCAATTGTATACATCATGGCAACATAATAAAAGGTAAAGTCATTTACTAAATTGAATATGGCAACCCTTTTCTGACGAAATTGACCTTGTCATTTTTCAAATAAAATCTATTTTCATATATAAAAGATTTTCGTATGACGAGTGGCAGATTTTACAACAATAATAAATGTTATTTTATTTTCAGTGTTCCTTTGCACGTGAACACATTTTTACATTCCATATCTTAGGAATATCAAATTTATTTATCTACTTTTGGACTAAAACATATAAAGATAAATATTTCAAGCCCTTTAGGAAACGTTTTCGGTGATAATAGCCCGCTTTTAAGAATCAAATCCGCAGAACTACCCCGCTGACAAATGTTGCCAAAATATTGAGAATATATGCTATATGAATTCTGTACTGAAACGAAAGCTTACACTGACAATTTCTTTTAATGCATTTAATGCCAATTCGACTAAAAATGAGAGATGAGATTGTTTACCTCCATTTACCCTTTAAAAGACGTGAAAATAACAAAGTATTTCGACTGAATTTAATGAAAAACTCTTGCAAGCGTACGCCCATATTTAAGAAAGAATACAAAATATAAAATTGACCATGAAGGGACATAAAAAATTGTGACCGTATGATAGCTTGAGATTACCTTGGTAATGTAAACGCACAAGTCTGTAAAACTGTAATCGTAACTAGTGTAAACGTACTTTTATTACCAGCTGTTAACATGGTAGAAGAATATAGGTAGACGCGTCGACACGGCTGCTGGGACAATGAACTGTCAAATCAATTTTGGAATTGAAAATGTTGAATGAAAAATGGATTCAATTTGTAAAAAT